ATCAGGCATATTATCCGTTCCTTGAGGAGGCGTGAGAATATGTCGTATGCCCGTTCACCGCGTCCAGTTTGCTCGACTACCATGGGAATCAGGTTGATATTGCGGACCGAATTCGCCCGGCCACCACATTTCACCTGCAATTCGGGCGATTAGTATCTGTACTATCTGGTGACCTAGTTTCACTTACTGAATTAATTTGTAAAAAGCGGCTAACAGCGGTTTTTAGCATGATCCTGGGTTTTGTTTTGACGCAAATCAACCGGATTCGCAATGTTATGCAAAGCAGCTGTTTCTAAGGCTAAGACAACACACTTTTAATCATTTCTGACACAAATGAAAAGAAACAAATGCTGTTCGCTTGGCATATATGACAAGGGTCATATGAATGTATATTTTGTATATATATATATGTATATATTGCGTTTAAAGGGAATTATTGGAATATTCGACAGATGTGAAACAGGTGGTCACACCGAGCATCGGCGCAGAACCGAAAACAGCTGATATATCTTTTTGGTGTTACCCAAATCCCACCACATCCCAGAGGAACGATTAATATTTTTGAAAAACTGGAATTTTTACAAAAACGGTGTACAACAGTCAACAGTAGAAGTAAGCTTAATTTATTGAAAAGGATTTTTTTTAGCTCACTCGAACTATATTTTATTAATTGTTTCTGTTTATTTTTTTAAATTTTAAATAAAAGCTTACATATATTCTGTGAACAAATTGATGCCTGGGGGAGCGTTTATTTCCCACAGCCATATAGTTAGTTAGTTCCACAGACCTGTTATCACGGCTCCAATTTTATTTAAAAGCGGTTGCTTCCCGTATGTTTTTGCTAAATCTATTCAGTTAATTATATTATAACTCATTGGGAATTTAGTATGTTTACCATCAGACAAAGTTTTTGTAAAATTTTAAAATTTATCATGGAAATACAAAAAAGTTGAATTTTTTGGCTCTGTGTTATCAAAAATAATATGATGCAATGGGTAAAATATATTAATAGCTCAAAAATTAGAAATAACCACAATAATACAACATTTAGGCTAGAAAATACTGATTGCCAAAAGCAATATAATAAGTGAATACTTTTTAATGTCAACGTTGAAAATCACTCAAAAATTTAAATTTTATGTATGTATTTGTGTCATACTTTTTTAAAGAATTCACGTTTTTAAATCCTTTTTTTTAATTAAGTTTAAATTACTTCAATTGCTTTAGAAGACAACCGCAAGCTTCTTTGTACTTTTTTTTAAATATTATTTGTTGCTTTGGTGATAGTATCTTCGATTTTTAGTTTCTGATTTTTATTTTCCCAATAGTTATATTTTTTTTTGTTATTTCCTAATTTTAATATTTTATTTTGCAATTATGTTGCAAATATATTAAAATAAAAAATTAAATTAATAATAGTTAGTAATTTAAATTTACAAAACATTTTGATGAGTTATTGTGCTTTTTTCACCAATAGTCGGTTTACTAGGGTGTTTAATGCTTCGATCTCGCAACCAACTTATACATTTTCACAATTATTGCTAAGAGAAAATGCTTAGTTGCTATTTTATTATGTACATAATTGGCAGTATCTGAACGTATCGGAGTTGGCAGCTATGTGGAAAATTTTAATATTTATCTGTTTATGTGGCCTAAAATACCAAATTGTGACTTCTAATTTAAATAATAGAAATTCAACTGCTTTGGATTACAAGAGTGAATTTGAAAAATTTAAGGTAAACATTTTTCTTCTATATTACATCTAAGAATAACTAATTAAATCTTTTTTTTTTATAGAAAAGTAATAACCGCAAATATCTTCGCACTTATGATGAAATACGAAGTTTAAAAGTCTTTGAGGAAAACTACAAAGTTATTGAGGAACACAATCAACATTATCAGGATGGTCAGACAACCTTCAGATTGAAACCGAATATTTTTGCTGACATGGTATTTTTAGTTTTGTATACTGAAGCTATATTATTTTATTAACAATTTTGTATCTTTGAAACTAGAGTACCGATGGTTACCTAAAGGGATATCTGCGCCTACTGAAAAGCAATGTTGAAGACAGCGCTGATAATATTGCTGAAATTGTTGGCTCTCCTCTCATGGCAAACGTACCCGAAAGTTTGGATTGGCGAAGTAAGGGATTTATAACACCATCGCAGAATCAACAATCCTGCGGTTCGTGCTATGCTTTTTCTATTGCTGAGAGCATCGGTGGACAGGTTTTTAAGCGTACCGGCAAAATATTGAGTTTGAGTGAGCAACAAATCGTGGACTGCAGTGTGTCACATGGAAATCAAGGATGCGTTGGAGGCTCCTTGCGAAACACTTTAACCTATTTGCAGAGCACTGGCGGCATTATGAGGGCGGCCGATTATGCATATGTCGGAAAGGTAAGTAACAATATCTTTTATTTCTAAAAAGGTATTAATGCATACAACATTCTTTTAAATTTAATCAAAAAGGTGCACTGAATAAATTAAATTTAAACTGACTTTGCCAAGCCTAAGATTATATACCCTTGCAGCTTTACACAAATTAAAAAGTTTAGAAACGATAATGTTAATGCGTATATTTTTTAGAATTATGTCGATTTTTCGCTGAATTTTTATTTCGGTCCAATGGCAGCTATATGTTACCGTTGTTCGATTTTAATAAAACAAAAAACCTAAAACCATAATTATGTTTGTTTTCCGGATGGTTCCTGTCGGAGCTTTATAATATGTTCCAAATATAGATATAGCTTTAAAACTAAGAAATCCGTTTGCGTCGAAACAGACAGACGCATAGACGGCTATACATAATAAAAAAACACTTTTATATATTCGGAAATAATCAAAGCGTTGTAAAACTTGGACTGAATTTATAATACCCTCTATAAGGGTAAAATAAAAAAAAGGACAGCAATGGTTATTCGATTAGGTGTAAAGATATGTTCAATTTGATTTAAAGTGCTGGTTCTTTCCAAATTAATTTTAAAATATTCTGAACTTTTCCGTAAATTATTATTCTTAATTTGCAGAAGGGAAGATGTCAGTTTGTCTCGGACCTATCTGTAGTCAACGTAACATCGTGGGCCATACTTCCTGTACATGATGAACAAGCGATTCAGGCAGCAGTTACTCATATTGGACCGGTAGCCATATCCATTAACGCAACTCCAAAGACCTTTCAACTGTATAGGTAATAATATAAGCATAACATTTTTAAGTTTTAAATGCTAATTAAGAACTTGTTTTTTTTTCAGTGACGGTATCTACGATGACGTTCAGTGTTCATCAGCTTCTGTAAATCATGCCATGTTGATTATTGGCTTTGGAAAGGATTATTGGATTTTAAAGAATTGGTGGGGTGAACTTTGGGGCGAATCTGGTTATATGAGAATTCGAAAAGGAGTAAATATGTGCGGTATTGCCAATTATGCTGCATATGCCATAGTTTAAATACATTTTAGTCCATTCAAAAAAGATTACAGTTAATAATTAAATATTGATTTAAAAGAAGATTTAAGGAAATAACTTTTTCTTCAAGGTTTCTAAAATTGCTTTAATTTTCTAACATTAATAAAAATATATTTTTCGAATAAACCATGATTTATCGCCACAAAAATATTGTATATTAGACAGAATTTTGATTTTGAATACTCATATGATCTAAATAACAGATTAGTTCTTTTATGTCAATCAAAAATGGCATTTTGTATTCGTCGAAAAATATGTAATAGGTTTTGTTTCCGACCTTAACTCAAACAACAACTCATTTTTCAAGTCAAATATTTTAGAAGTTATGAGCATTATTGTACATTTGCGGCTAATGGCGCCACCTAAAACACAATTATTTTCAAGGGGCATATTTTATATTTTGAAATTGGTTAGCTGTGTAACGAGTAGCTAATAGTAAATATATTGTTAAATGGTCTTGAATTCTAGACCATGCTGCCCTTTGGGGCATATTTTTCGGAAATATTTAAATGTTATATTAGTCCCGAAAGAATAATTTAGTTTGAGTTTAAATTGCATTACCTGATTAGATATGTTTGGGACAAATGGCAAAACTAACTGCTTGCTGTTAAATTCAAATTACCCAGAAGTTGATAAATGAGATGCGTATACACTGTGCAACATACAAGTAATTTGGTGCAGAAAGTGACACATTTTTGTGACACTTTTGCAACTAAAAAGGGGATAGTATATGAATCTTTGAATACGTTTTATAACTGTGCACTAAAAAAAAACAATTATGTCACGTTTGTTGCACAGTGTCATTAACACAAAATTGAAGTAATGAATATTGAGGGCGTGGCAGAGTGCCAACTCAGGTCCTTATTTTATGGCTTTGTGCCCGCCCCCAATCGATAAAACAGGTTGGTCCCCATACGACGACTTTGGGAGATAAAAATTAGTACCCCAACAGCAGTAGATTTACATGTTAAGCACACCGAATTTAAAAGTATTTATGAAGTGCCAACAGCTTAAATCCTTTGAAGCTCCGCACTCGGGTCATGGCAAAACTCCTCCCACATTGCATCATTTATAGCAATTATAATGGGTTTCATTGCCGCCTAATGGATATATTGTATTCTATAATGGCTATAACCAATAATAGGAAAGTAAGGTGGAATCGCTCAGCGTGCAACCACTTTGGCCTTATGCCGCTGCCTCCGTAGACCAATGAGAGACCAATTTAAAGCACGTAGGCAGGACTTACACTCTCAGCTCCGGTGGTGGATGTTCAAGGACTCACGAGAGAGAGCGAAAAAGCGAAAAGGGAGAGCACTTACAATGTGGGATAAAAATGTTAATTGAATGAAGTCAAGATGTTTGTAGATGCCAGTTATATTTGTCTATTACAACGGACAGTCGATGGATTTGCATTACATTTTCACCCATTTGCGCAATAAGTGCGCAATTTTAATGGCCTGCTCTCTCCTGCTTAATTTGGCAACAAGGACTTGGCCATCAGGATAAGCCGAAGGACATGCGCAGCAATAAAGAGCCAGTGAGGTGATTAGACACGCCGAATGCCATTGGTGTGGACTATAAAATAGTCGGCAACTTAGTTCCGTTACAGCAACTTATGCTCGAACGCATAAAAAAACTGCGGCTATCATTTATTTATTAACAAAAAGCATGGAGCAGTTGGCACAGTTTGTGACCAAGTCCTTTGAGTTTAACTTAACCAACAACAGTGTTCACGCTTTGTTCAATTCGATGACGGGCGCGCGTATCAAAAAGCACACGGAAGTGAAAAACGCCATATTCATAAATTCCCTCAGTTCCGGCGGCAGTTACGCCGAAACTTGCGCGAGTGGCGAAGAATCGGTGGATATTGACATAACCGACTTGTCCGTTTCGGAGAGCAATACGATTCTCGAGGCTGATCCGGAGCCACCAGAAGAATCCCAATCACAATCACAATCCCAAACCCAATCACAATCCCATCAGGAGGAGACTGTAGTGGAATCGTTTCGCCTAAGCCCAACTTTTCGCAAGACTGTGGAGACTAAGCCCAAAAACTGGCTAATATCGGAGGATTCGAATGTGGAGTCGCCGGCGGAAGGTAACTTAAACATATGACTAAAATTGCCCAAAATGGGTTTAAGTTTCAATCCCCATTAATAGAATTTATGCTCTAAAAAAACGTTCCGAAATTGTGTTTTTTTTTACTTATTATCAACAAGGGTTTTTTTTGAAAATTTAAAAAAAATCTTGTCTCGAAGAAATTTAATTGTTGTTAAACATCTCAGTTTAAGCCGCTCAAATTTTAGTCCCCAATAAATTAATTTATGCTCTATTAAATATGTCGGTAAATTTATTTTCTAAACGTATTATTATTTGTTTAGTGATAAATTTTCTTAGTTGCCCCAAAATATAATTTTTAAAACATATCTTTTATAATTAATTTACCATAAACTATAATATGCAATTAAAACTATTGGATTGATCCAAAAAAAGAAGTTGCAGTGCGACAGACAGACGGACAAAAAGTCGAGTTGGAAATATTTATTTTTCTGCCTTAATCAGATCTGAAAATAATGATAGTACCCCGTGACAATCGGATATCCGTTTCCTCGCAAACTTATCTTTTAGTTTTAAGGATACCTATAAAAAACTTTAAAAAAAGTAGAAAGTAGAAAGTAGTAGGTCGTCTTTATATTAGAACAATCGGAAAAACAAAAAAAAAATATAATTTTTATAACAACTGTGTTTAAAAAAAATACAAAAATACTTCAAGATTTTGTGGTTTTAGAACTTCGTTCATGGTCGCTTCATAAATAGCTAAATACAGTATTTAAGCGAATATTTTATTTTATAAGGCTATAATATTATCAATAACAATTAATTCTTTTTTATTCCAAATGGTATACTCTTACATCCTAAAATTAATTTTAAAAAATAATAATCCAGACACTATAAATTTTATTATTTCCGACATTTTTTTATAGTTCTTGAATATTTAGTGATGGATGGTCTATTGTTTTGGAATGACGATTTAAATTTGATCAAAGTCGGACGTCTATATCTTATAGCTCCCATGGAAACAATCAGAATATTACAAAAATAAATAAAAAAAAATTTATCTTCTTTAATTTTGATTTTTTTTGTAATTATTTTGGACATAAAATGCTTTAATAATTTAGAATTACGCATTTAATTTGATTCAAATTGGGAAATTATGAAATATAGCTGGCAAAGGAACGCTTTAATAATTGAGGTGAAAATCTTCATAGCTTCAATGGGTTTTAATGGGTACTCATAAAATTCGAAACTTAGATGTCATAAAGACGTTTAATTTTTGCAAAACTGCAAGAGTGTATAAACTTCGGCTTGCCGAATTGTTTAATTTGTTTTTTAATATTCTTAGAAAAAAAGTAATGGTTAGGTATTTCTGATTATGGTTTTAATTTTAATAAAATCGGTCAACTACATCATATATCTCTCTTTGAAACAATCAAAAATTGTAAAAGAATAAATGAAAACCAAATTGTTTTACATATTCATTGAAATATAGTAATTTCCAAATTACGGGTTTAGTTTTATAATCCAATAGAAACAATTAAAAAAATATATGAAATAATTAAAACTTCGCTTTTTTTCAATTGATTCGATATTTATTAATGGTTTATTAGTTTTACGGTTTTAATTTATGAAATAATTGTTGGATTTGCTGTGTGTTGATAGACACTAATCGAATAAATATATACACCAAAATATTATTACTCCACGAGTAAGGGCTTTTTTTCATATCTCATAATAAAGCCATATTAACTTGCATATTTGCAATTTTTTGCATGACTAATCCCAATAAGTATTTTAAATTTGTTAAACCGAAATTTGAACAACATTCAAAAATGTATTAGGTCCCGTATCTGTGTATCTTCATATTTTTCGGACAAATAAAAAATATGTCTTTTATGGTCCAAGTGTGTCACTCATACGTACTGTTGCCTTTGATAAACTAATTTATTCTAACTGACATTACGTGCTGTATAATAATTTTTGGGAAACTTTGATACCAGCTTCTTTAACTTAAAATAAAATGTTTTGATTTTTAAATATATTTAATGCACATCAATATCTACTACATTAAACGATGAGAGTAAAGTTTTTTGGATAAACTTCCGAAAAGCCAAGGGCTCCGAATAATAAGGTCGAAGTTGGTAACAAAAAAGGATAAGGATATATCCATTGGCGAATAAATGAATAAATATACTACCTAAATATAAAAAAAGATTTCTTGGAAAAAACGTTTTTTTTGGGTTTTTTATTGTCTTCTAAAATAAAAAAAACAGTTGTAGATCTAGTTGAAATACATCATAGTTTTTATGTTATGATAGTAATTTGCGTAAGGTTGATACTTATTATTTTATATAAAAAAACTATTAACTGTCATTAAAATAAAGCGCTCCATAACTTGGAATGAGTTGTCATAACTGGACGATTGTCAATATTTCACTAAATGATCTAAAGCTTACTGCTTTATAATCTTTTACTTATCTTAAAGAGCGCAGCTTTTTTGTTTAAAAAAAAATTTTGTGAATATATGTTCACTATCATAGAATTTACGCAATGTGTAGTAGTGCCAACTCGACCAAACTACGTAAACACTATTTTTAAAAGTGGTCACTAGAAGGCAACCGTTTTCTACTTTTCTCTCGAAAAATTCGATAAAAATAAAATGTGTATTTATACTAATTTTACAAATTTTAACCAAAAAATAAAAATGGCTTTTAGCATTATTTTCTTTGACATATTTATTAGTGTTCAAATCCCCAAAATACAAGGATACTGCCAATTTGAAGACGTTCGGAGGTCGGGGCTTTTACGGAAGTACAGACCTTTTTTTTATAACTTTATAATATGACTATAACTTTGCAGATCCGAAAGTTTCTGCGGTGGTGACCGCCAACATAAGCGAGTGCACGGATGACAGCAATACGCCGAAATTGGCGCCCGACAAGCCGGCAATAAGCGACAAGTGTGGCTCCCCGGAACCAAGTGGCCAAAGAATCCGGGAGCACTGCGACCACCTGGACTCGTCGGTGGTCAACACCAAGCAGCGAAGATCGCGGACGAACTTCACACTCGATCAGCTGAACGAGCTGGAGCGACTCTTCGAGGAGACGCACTATCCGGATGCCTTTATGCGGGAGGAGCTCAGTCAGAGGTTGGGGCTCAGCGAGGCCAGAGTGCAGGTAATTATCTCCATAAATTCTGGCCAAATGGCAGCTTGACATTGAAAAGGTTCGCCCCTTGGACACTACGAATGGCACAAATTGATTTTCAATGGATATTCATTACACTTGTACTAATGACAATCCAGACAGTGTCGCCCCAAATCCGAACTCTGGGCGAATGTGAAGGCCTTACTTTGATTTTTCAACCACCGTCGCTGTGAAAAATATATATGTATATGGGGTGTTAAGTGGTTTACACCACCCCCTTTTGCAGTCTGGGATACAAGTAGAAAATTGTTTGAGCATCAGGGGGCCGGTTAAAGATTAAACGCTCAATCAGGGGTGGCGGCAATACAAGTAGACACTATGTGGTCATGGAACATGTAGATGCGATGCTGGAAGCACCAGGAATGTCACTTTTTTTATGGCCCGTAATAAATTGCTTCAGTTTTCGGAACTTTCAGCTAGCTAACATCATCTTACTCGGCTGTAATTAATGACAAATAAACAGCAATAATTTAATGTATTACAAGAATTAATGATCAAATCGGAGAGGAGAATTGTATTTTCAATTTATACTTAGGAAAAAGCCATCAGAAGAAATCAACTTAATATAAAGTAACCCTTTTATCAATATACTTTCAGGTTTGGTTTCAAAATAGAAGGGCGAAATGTAGAAAGCACGAAAACCAAATGCACAAAGGTGAGCATATAAAAGATAAAATGGTGCTAATAATTAAATTACACTAAACAGAATTGTTCATAATTTTATATTGGCAATTCTGGAGTCCCTAAATCATTAGTTTCTTTTCTAATCCTCGCTCATCATCACCCACGCTGTAGCCAAGTTATCCCCAATTAAGCTTAATTAAAGTGTAAATCGCAATTAGTTAAGTACACAGAAATCAGGCAAGACCATTTACATTTACATTTACATTTGGGGAAACTGTTCATTTTCTGGCTTATCAACTCGTCGAGCCAATATGTTACGGTTTCACAGTTATTTAAATGTCTCTTCATTAATTCATTTGGCGCTCCTTTCGACTTCAACCCTCGTTTCCAAGGACTTATCCCATTCATCAACTCCCCGACTCGTCCGGCTCACTCAATAGAATTTGTATTCTACGTTTTATTGCTCGAATATTTAATTTGATGAAGTTAGCAATGATTTGTGTTGCTGTCGCTAAAAAACGTTTTTATGTATATTGCCGAAGGGATTTGGCCCGTTTCGTTGGTAGAATTTGAGCAGATGCGATTGTGAGAATTGATTATAATGCGAAAAGCAAACAAACAAACCGAATAAAGCACACACACAGCAAAAAGCACACAAAAATATGTTTTAAATTTAGTGAGTAATATATTCCTTACACAAAATTTTATTCTTGATATGGTAAAACACAAATACATGAATGAATTTCTTAAAACTATTGCATTTATTTTCGAAACGATGACCTAGATATACAATTAATATTTTACACCTTGATTTAAAAGCCACATAAACAAAAATCCGATTTATGAGCAACTGGAGCTGCAGACGCTTTCGCTTTATATTACCTAATTGGATTAAAAGATCTAATCTCATTTATCAAATTGCCGCCTAATGTTGCCGTATTTCAGCATACCGGACCTCCGGTATAAAAAAGTTTCGGAAATGTAATCAAATTGAAATTTTGGCATAAAAAGCACGGCAGACACAACGAATGGGCAGCACTTTATGGGTTCATATCAATTCTCAGGCCTTTTGCCGCCGGTGAACCACCGTAAACAAGACGTTAACCTGGCCTTTGGTCCCCGGAGGCCCATTTGTATGTGCTCCAGGAGCAACACGTCCCTGTGGTTGAATGACGCCGCCTCCGAACACGGGGCGTTTCCCGAGCAATAAATTACAAAATGAATTCAATTACTTGTCACTGAATCTTAAAACGATTTACCAATCTAGAAAATACGGGTATGCACATTTCGAAAACATTTTTGCACTTGGCAATTGGGCAAAAACAAGATTTACTACTAAATAATTAACGATAATGTTGTTGCAAAGAAAAAAAAATAATTGCAAAATAAAACGTTATATTAAAGTTGTGAATTTAGCAACTTTCTTAAAAGTTTTTCTAAACAAATTTCTATTCAACGAAAACTATGAGTGGATTAGAAAAGCGAATGTTGTTGAGATGAAATTTAGCCGTGGGGTTAATTAATTCAGTATTGTCAAATAATAATTTAAAAGCCAATTAAACTCATTTTTCGCGAACGAGTGTATGTTCCTTATACCCAAAAGTGAGAAATGCAAGGCACTCAAATTGAAAACCAAGTTCTTGATAGAGAACTTTCAATTCTCGAATTAATAGATATCAAACACCAAATAGGATAGCTATTTTAAACATTTTCTTCAATAACTTTTATGTTAGTTTATAACAAATTTTTATGTTTGGTATGTCTATAATACTTACAAATTATAGTAAAAAAAAAATAACCAATGTTAGAAAACAAAAAATCAAAACACAACTAGAAGTGAACTCGGGACCTCAATTATTACAACATTAAAAGTACTTATACGCTTTATTAAAATTAAAATTACTAAAAATATGCTTAATGTGAGTGAATAGCAAAAATCTGTACTCAAACTGAGTGAATCAATTTTTAATCGCCGACCTTTAGTGTGCATATTTAACAAAAAAGTGAAACCTATAATTTTCAGGAAAACGTTGACCCACAAATGTACTTTTTTTTACGACCACAAAAAAAATGTAAATTCAAACTCCCTTCAGGCACGCGACATAGTTTACCAAGATTGAACAAGACTTAATCAAATAGTTAGATTATTAAACTAAATTAAATAATTAAAAGTAGATGCTCTTTATTTTAAAGTCTTACAATTCTTCCGTTTCTCATTTATAAAACTAAAAAGCCTTACAAACACAGTTAACCAACGCACATTTAACAACGTATATTTCGAAGGATTCCTGGTGGGCAGTCGTAGTCCTCCAATCGCCACTCCACTGGAACCCTGTCGCGTCGCACCCTACGTCAGTTTGGCCGCCCTTCGAAGCTCATCCGTTCCGTCTCATCCTCACCCTCATCCTCATCCTCTTCCTCTTCCTGCTGCAGCGTCGAGCTCGAATCCCCAAGCACCCAGTGGCACGAGTTCCGGCGGCAAAGTGGTCAGCGTGGAGTCGCCTCACTCTCCGGCGATATCGCGATCGGCCATCAAACAGTTTTCCAACACCGTTGCAGCCGCCGCCGCTTTTTCTGCATTCGATCCAGCAATTATTTCCGTGGCAGCTCATCAGGTAAAACTCATGAAAATTAATTGCATAATAATATACAAGACTGGTCAGTATAGGGTCCTGAAAGATTTTAGTGTGCTGAACTTTAGGTCAAAATTAAAAAAAAAAAAAATGACATAGTAAATTTAAACATTAAAATGTTTGAACGTAACATTGTTTTATTTTTAAATACAAACTTACTTAAAATAAACTTAAAGAATGGTAATGTAATTATTAACATATTTAATTGATTTATTATTAATAGCAAAATTGTGAATTTCAATATTTTTTAATTTTAAAATTAAATTTTATTCATACCTAAAATTAAAATGAAATGGTAACAGACTTTGATTTAAAGAAAACACCCCTTGGGTCTTTTTTTTTGGTCATTACCGAAATTGTTAATTTCAAAGTGAAAATATTTGGATTTGACAGGATTTTTCTCTGGGTGATGATTTTAAAATTCCTTTTTTATACAGATGTACATAAGGCTAGTCGAAAAACTCACTCTTACTTATTAGTTTGGAAGATTTTTGTGTGCATAGAAGAACCTTCACGTTTTTATACAATGTTGGACCGCTCTTATATTAATTCAGATTCGAACAGAAGCTTACTCTGAATTAAAAAAAATGTTAACTATTTGTTTTCGAACAATTACTAAATTTCTATACAAAGCGATTAACTTTTAAGCGGGATTTTCACATTACTTAATAAACACAGCACTAAGTGTGGTTCTTTTTCAGAATATTAAATTTGACAAAGAATCACTACTTTGTTAGCAGCTTGAGGTAAAGTGCAGGAATGTAAATCTGTAGAAGGATTATTAACCTACAAGTAGATTACAATTCAGCACACCAAAATCTGTTAGTATGGGTGTAATTTAATGTTGTAACATATCTATAACACAAATTAATTATCGACCCCCCTTTAAGTGTAAATCCCTTCCGCGTTTCAGTATGCTGCTGCTATAACCAATGGAACCGTGCCGACTGGACTCTTTTCTGTGCCACAATACTCCATAAATCTGGCTGCTTTCGCCGCCGCGCACAGCAAGAGTTCCAGCATAGCGGACCTGAGGATGAAGGCCAAGAAACACTCAGAATCGTTGGGACTTCAGGCAGACGTGGTTCTTTAGTAGACAGCTTCGCATAGATTATAGAAATGTACATTCAATTGATGAAATGGTAATATTCCGTCAATCATCGTAATAATAAAGAATAGCCACATTTATTTATTTAATAAAAGTTTTACTTAATAAATCTAACGAATAAGATTGATTTTAAACAATATCGACAAATAAAAGAACTGTTTTTTGAACGTGTTTGGGTCTTTTGCTCTGATTTTTTTAGTATAATCTTTAATAAATTTAATGGTGTGTGGTGATATTATTTAAAAGCAAGCTAAAATCCTACACAATACACTAATTTATATAATTTATTAAGCAAAGACTATTATTTTAAATCAAATAATTCATTTAAATCATAAGCAGGCAGCAAAGTAACAAACAAACTTACTTGAGTTGTAATGGTTCGATTGGGAAAACTCATAAAATTTAAAATTATGCTTTTGAAGTGGCTAAAAAAAAAGTAACAGTACTTATATACAAATATTAACAAATTTTGCTCCAAATACACTTTCCATACTGGTATATTATTCTAATTTTTATATGTTTATAACACCTAATTTCTTAAAGTGGCTTTGCGGAAATGTAAACAAAAATCATGCAATAATTCCAAGACTTATCTTTTTCCTTACGGTACCGTGGTAAAACAGTAAAACTATGGACTTAAATATTGTGTTTTTTCTTTTGATATTACTCATTTTTAAATTTCCGACTATGATTTTGCGGAAAGGTACCAAAAACCTTCAATTATAAGTTCATAACTTTTCTAGCAGACTTCCGATTTCGAAATGGTATATCTTTAAAGTCTTGTGGCCTAAGTCTTTTAAAATCAGCATCTAAATTTTGTTTTGCAATTTTGAGTTGTTTTTTTTTTACGATATAACTTATTAATCGTTTTCCAAAAAATGGCACTGCAGAAAAGTGACCAAAAGCCTGCAGTTTTAATTCCATAACTTGTCCTGCAAGCATCCGATTTCGAAGTGGTACAACTTAAATGTCTCGAGGCTTAGTTCTCTAAAAAACTGCGTTTATAACTTGGTTTGTAATTTCGTGTCGATTTTTGGAAAATTTTATGATGTAAACCCTTTCTTAATCTCCGAAAAAATCGTCTATGCAGAAAAGTGACCAAAAACCTGCAGTTTTAAATCCATAACTTTTCTTTTACGCATCCGATTTCGAAGTAGTATATCTTTAAAGTTATGTGGTTTAGATCTCTACAAATCTGCGTTTAAAACTTGGTTTGTAGTTTCAGATCGATTTTTTTGAATTTTTATGATGTAACCCCTTTCGAAATTTCCGAAAAAATCGTCCTTGCAGAAAAGTTACCAAAAACCTGCAGTTAAAAGTCCATAACTCTTAAATTAGGGATCCGATTTCGAAGTGGTATATCTTTAAAGTCTCGTGGCCTAAGTCCCTTTAAATTTGCATTTTGAGCTGTTTTTTTACGATAAAACTTAAAAATGGTTTTCCGAAAATACCACTGCAGAAAAGTGAGCAACAACCTGCAGTTCTAATTCCATAACTTGTCTTGCAAGCATCCGATTTCGAAGTGGTATAGCTTTAATGTCTTGTGGCTTAGTTCCCTAAAAATCTGCGTTTAAACTTGGTTTGTAATTTCGGGTCAACTTTTTAGAATTTGTATGATGTAACCCCTTTATAAATTTCCGACATAATCGTACTTGCAGAAATGTGACGAGAGACATAGTCCCTAACTTTTATTTCAGGCATCCGATTTTAATGTGATATATCCTTAAAGTCTTATGGCCTAAGTCTCCTAAAATCTGCATCGACATCGATATAACTTATTAATTGTTTTCCGAACCCAGCGCAGAAAAGTGACCAAAAACTTGTTTTGCCATTATCCGATTTCGAAGTGGTATATCTTTAAAGTCTTGTTGTGGCCTAAGTCTCTTATAATCTGCATTTAAATTTGGTTTTGAAATTTTAAGTTATTGTTTTTACAATCTATTTTAGTAATTGTTTTCCGAAAAATAGCACTGCTTGCTTATATAGATTAAATACACGTTTTTTATCCAAGTCATTTTTTTTCAAAAAAATATAAAAGTATTTGGTGTCGATGGAGATTTTTTTTAACTTGCTGCCCCATTTTAGGTGTTTTGATAAACTTGCGATGCATACATAGGTCAAAAGAATGTCTTTTCTTGCCAGCACCCAATGAAAACGAATTAGTTAAATGTTAAAATAAAGTTCAGGCTTTTGTTTTTAATATATGGAATCGTTATAGCATAATAATAAAGAAATCACTTAAATACATTTTAAAATACCCGATACATCAGCTGCTAGTGGAATCAAACATGCTTCTACATAATTGAAGAGCCCTTATTTTCTCCGACCCAACTTCTCCAAGACAAACTCTTTCAAAGGCTGGTAGTATTGGTAGCGCAAACAAAGCATTTCGGGGGAGTTGCGCAATTGCTCGAAGGCTTCCGACTCGGACTCCATGATGAACACGGCAGTTCCGGCCATCGCAAAAGCCACAAAAATCACGGACGGAACAAAGGCGTGTAGTAGGTGGAATTTGCGGAACTTCTTGACCTTCCGTGCGGATGGATCCGCGTGCAGAAATTTATCGGCAGGCGAACTGGACTTCGAGGCGACATCGGACTGTCCGTAGTACAGATTGGGGGAGTAGGACCCGTGCTGCTTGGCTTCGTTGTGCTTCCTCGGATGGTCGTAGCCGTTCACGGTCAGCCCGCTCTCGGTGGAAGAATGCTCGATGGAGTCCCGGTAGGCGTAGCCCCCCATTTGGGTCGCCAAGTAGTTGACACCCTCGATGTTGGACGACCTCAGCCGGGCCTCCTCGCAAACGGGCTCCAGACTGGATATTTGGATGCCACCATTGACCTCACCCATGCCGTGACCATCCTGCCCGTAGAAGTGTCCGTTTGGCATGCCGTACCCCAAAGGCTCTGACATCGTCGATCTCGGTAAACTGCTATAGCCTGAAAAATAATAGTGAAGATTACTTAATTTTATCTGCCGGAGTAATTTAAGTGGTAACTAAATGCGGTTGAAGGCCCTGCATAGTTTTTCTTTAGAACAATGGGTTTTAAATAAACATGCTTCTACCCTTAAAAGGCTTATTTAATTTATCAAAAATAATTGCCTCCTTCCTTTAATTGTTTTTAATAGTTTGTTATTTAAAACATATATGCTAGGTTCAAAATTAAATCAATTAATTAATTTAAAAAGAAAACAGCTTTAGAAGTCGGCTGTCCCTGGATCGATCCAAAAAAAATATAACAGGGATTTGGGGTCCTTGTGAGTTTTTGATCTTACAATGAGTCTAGAGAAAAACAAATCTTCTTAACAGATACTTTATCTGTCCAAAAAATACACTTTGCCACAAATAAGAACGCGAGTTCTTTAGACAAGAGACGAACACCTGCAGTTCTCAAGAAAAATAAAAATAATAATAATAATAAAAAATAAAAACGTACGTATTTGTGCTAGATCGCCTTGGGGACTGGACGGCGTTGCTGGCACACTGCTTGCCTTTCGCTTGCTTGAATTCGAATTGTTTATTTTTTGTTCCCGCAATGCATTTATGTTTTCAGTCAAAATTTCGCGCTCAGTTCTTCCGGTGTATCGGAATTTCGTGCCCCAGGAGAAAAATCCTCCTCCCGAAATCACAGCCGCACTTTGGCTATTGGGTAATCTAGGGGGAGAATCAATTTATTAATATACAAGGATAAATTTATATTAATAATCACTTACGTAAAGAACAGCATTTGTTCTATGGCACATCTCCACAAATATCGACAAGCGGCGCCGGTTGGACACTTGAACCCCACTGTGTGTTTTTTCTAAAGCAAAATTGTACATTAAACAGAGGTAATGTAAAGAAAATTAACCATTTTAAATATATATATTACAACTTACTGGTTCACGGCTAGCATCGGTATAGCTCAGATGGGCTATAAACATTTTGCCCTCAAAATTGATCTTATGTATTTCATTCCAGCGAAAATGTTGAGATCGTTTGCCGGTGACAAAGGTGCTTATACCCGAATTGTTTATTCCGATATACTGCTGCGATCCCCGGTGATCCTTCACCGGATGAGGATCGATGCCGTAGGTCTCCAGGCCGCGTGCTATGCCTAGGAACTCGTCCATGGCCAAGGAGAGATCCTGCCCAGGCTCTCGCTTTTTATGGAGCTCGATTATCTTCTTTTCCAGATACTCTGTCTGGCGTAGGGCTAATTCTATGGAAGATACATAGCTGCCTATATGCACGTCTTCATTGTAATCGCCAAGCTCTTCTATAAAGCAAATGGTATTCAACATTTAAGTTACAGAACTTGTTTTCAAAAGATTTAAGAAGTTACCTTGAACAATTAAGGCACCCAGTGCGGCTGCCTCGCCCAAGGAGCAATACAATCGACCATGCCGAAGGTCCCTTTTTAATTGCTGATACAACATAATCCGTGCATTTCCGGTCAGTCGAAATGGATCCGCTGGGTAGAACTTAACTCTTAGCGAAAACAACAGAGGATCCAGTTCTGCACAAAAAGTTAAATGACCATAAATCGAGAATTCATTGGTTAACAATTTACTTACCTTTGCATTGCTTAATTATTGATTTCGAGAGGTCGAGCCAGTGCTGTTACAAATAATTATTAAAGCTGTGTACACAAACTATTAAAAAAAACCCAAACTTACCCTTTGCTTTGAGGAGTCAACATATCGCAAGCCAAAGTAATCTTTCTCTTTGATTTCCAACTCACCGCACAAATACTCCAATAGGTAAATTCCTTTGTGGAACGGCTGTATGAAAAATGATTTGGTTTAATTAAACGATTATTTTGTAACTGTTTGACTTTACAAACTCAATGAAATCTAAAAAGCGTTTGAGCAACTTGATAGAAAACTGCCGAGTAGTTTCTAAAAGGCTTTGAATATCTACCCATTTTTGAAATTTTTCCTAGAACACATTTTTAAAAAACTAAATCAAAATATGGTAAAGTTTTAAAGAATGTTTATTTCTAAAACATTTTTACTCCTTCAAAACTGTATTTAAAAATAAAACAATAGGCGATTCGAATTCAAAAACCATTTCACATTTTATAAATAAAGCTCTATTAGTGAACTAGCTAAAAATATACTAAAGAATTTGTATTTTAAATTGATTAAAGGGATGATGAAGGCCACTTTTGCCGGTAAGCATAAAGGGCGTTAGCCACCCATCTGTTTATTGCACGAGCTTATAGGTAAAATAAAAATAAATTCATTTATCTTATGGATTTATTCAGGACCTTTAATAAGTAGTTAGTTTATTTTTAGATTAGGCCCCTTTTTTAACATTTAGTCGCTGTTTTTGGCGAGAAAGAACTGTGAACTTTCGTTTATTCATATAACGGTACAATTGTTTGTAGCAGAATAACATTACAGCAATGCATAATGAATCAAGTGCAGATGAGCAATCATTTAAATGTCGACAACCTTATTCACTCACGAATGTAGGACAATTTGGTCGGAAAAAGGCAAAGTTCAAGAGCAGCACAAACCTGAAATTCACATTCTAGGACATCGGAATCATCGAGGAGTCGCACAGTGCATTTGTACACAATATTCCCATCATTTTTACTCCTGAACATTTTGTTGATTGTGTTGAATGAACTGTTACACTTGGATGGCTACTTTCACTTAAGCAATGGTCACTTTATTGGTCGGATTCAATTGGCTAGTTTATTTTAAAGCCAAGTTATGATTGCTCAACATTTTACTTGCTATTTTTCTATCCAAATATTTTGGCGATGCCCGTGTCCTTTGCCGTCCTTTAGTTGTTCCCGTTAAGGGTGTTTTTCGTGTGGGGAGGCCACTAACAAAATAAAGCACCAAATAAGGACAACTGCCTGCGCCGTTAAAGTAACCGTAACATGTATTTGTACAGATGTTGACTATTGGTATATTGTGGCCCCAGGGTGCAGTATACTAAAACAGAGAATATTAATAAAATATGAATAAATATATAAAAACTAATGTTAAAAAGGACAGGTTGAATAAAGGTTATTGCTCTGTTATCAAAATTATAAATAAAATCGATAAATTATTTGGCTATCGACCACCTATCATATTTAACTTATAACTAATTTAAATCAAACACATTAAATCGGTTAATTAATCATCAAATTTATTAGACACTTGTGCATAATAAAATTCGAAATATTTCCAAGCCAAAAAGCCTTTCTGAAATATTCGTCATCAGTTGAATAATCAATTTGTACCATTTAATTAAAGGCTGACTTCAATGAATTCTACTTCATCACACAGAACTGCATCAGACTCGCTCGAGGCTATAACGTGTCCAATTTTAAATGATTTTTGCTCTCCGTTAGTAATTTCTTGAAAATCTCGGCAAAATTTATCGGCGGCATCGGGCGAAAGGCAAATTAACAATCCACCAGAGGTTTCTACCGATCTACCAGAACTCAACTTTGTACTTTGGCCAATCAGTAAGCTAAATTTATGTACATTTTTGATGATTGGCAACTGATCGATTTTGAATAGGACCTTCTGCTTTTGAAATTGGGCGAGGTTGTGGGCGTGTCCCAATAATCCAAACCCAGTGATATCCGTGGCGCAATGAGCTTGATACTTGTGCATTAAAAGCGCGGCTGGAATAACATTTTCTTAATTTTTTTCACAAAAGAGTACTGAACATTAAAATTACCATTCTTGTTCAAATATGTCATTGATTTGACTGCTATCTGAAAAGTTTCCCTGATATCATCGTCACTGAATTCAGACAGCAGTGTTGTGTACTTTTCATTGTGGTTAAGTTGCCAGAGGTGAGCATCCATCGCCATCTGGCCTCCCAAAGGTTTGGTAAGGACCAAAACATCGCCAGGCTGGGCATTGGAAGGTCTAAGATAGACAACTCGTTAATTATATATATTAAGGTATTTATGTTATGTGATATTTACAAAATTATTTCCCCGCTTCGGCAGACAGACGTCGCAATGCCGCCAACAATGCACCAAGGATTGATCTTAAGTTGTCTGACAACAAGTGGAGTTTTATGATAGCCATTGACTTGTAAAGAGTTTTGGAAACCCTTTATGATAAGTGAAATGACAACGTCTTGTTCTTTTTTAGTAAAGCTCGTCGATGTACTGACGATAATTTCCACTGAATCAAAATCCGTCACCCCAACCGCAAAAACGTCGCTCAAGACATTAGCAATCGCAATACGTCCCAATAATTCCGGATCGTTCACCATAGGATAAAAGAAGTCGACGGTTTGAACAAGTAAATAATCTTTGTGCCGGTTCAGCGGTATAACTGCACAATCCATTCCAGAGCCTTAAAGAATGATTTAATGTTAAGACAATCATTTAATCGCCGTGATAATCACATGTCTTACCGATAAGGAATCCATCATTTTTTCTATTTACTATTTCTGTTCCCCTTAGGTACTTCTCAAGTACTTTTTGGGGGATTTTGCAACTTCATCCAGTGTGGGTCGTAAACTTTGTAAGCTGAAAGTCTGGCTCAAGGCCATGTTTCTCGGGCCGAAACATTGTGTGCAAATTTCTATGCGATTTGGCACAGATCTAACAAAAACTACTGAATAACAAGTCAAATAAAATAACTCGTGTTTCACGTTAGTGATGGGTGTAGACTTATCGATATATTTTATTCTTGCAGAAGAGATGTTTTATTCATAGAATCAGCTGACTTTTGAAATTTTATAATCTTGGGGTTTTTCCGGCTTTGTAAATCAAAAATTAAGTTAAAAAGTTGTTGTGACCACCTACTTCGTTGATCCTCTTTTTTGTTCTAAAGAATTAACTATATAAATGTATTTAATATGTAAAATAGTATTATTTTTTCCAGATTACTTTAAAACAAGACAATTATTAAAGCTATAGTCTTGTAAATAATAATCTAATCATTTTCGAACTAGTCCAAAATATTGAATAAATAATGCAGTAATTTAAAAGCTATAAACGGCTGTATTTAAAATTGCATTTGATACTGAAACATAAGGTTTGTATCCTAAATTTACACATACAAATTAAGCAAGTAATTTTTTAATTTCGTCCTTTTCCGCTGCTTCGAGGTAGCTTTGGCCATCTGGAGTAGAACCATTTTTATTAGCTCCCTAAAATAAAAAATATCTTTACTTAATTCATGAGCTGAAATAAAGCAGAGCAATCGAACCTTTTTTAGAAGAAATTCCACGCAGCTTGTATGTCCTTCCCAAATGGCAGCAAGAATAGGGGTAATACCATGTTTGTCTTTTCTCTGCATTAAAAATTAAAATTAGTTTAAAAATGTATTATAAAAAAAAAGCCGGCAATTGTTAAAGGCACACCTGGTTTCGACTTCTTTGGATTATGACTAACGAAAATGGATATATACGTGTGTATGTAACCAGCTATTGCCTTTTAACTTTCAAGTGCCGTATGTTTAATGAATCACAATCATGAAATTCAGCAAAAAAATTCAGCAACTCACATCGACGTCCGCTCCTATATCAATCAGGAACTGGAGCACATTAAGCTGGCCAAAATCCGCCGCATAGTGTACGGGGAAACGTCCCTTAATTTCCTCATTCACCTTTTGTGCCTGTATACAGGTATATTTAATTAAATCGAAAGCAGTATATACATGGGCAAACGCACATCGTTCTGAAAAGCGGCCTGCACAGCGTCAAACTCCCCGTTTTTTATGGTCCAAATAATGTTCTCATTAGAAATTGCACTCATTTTTATTTTCTTTTGGCTCGGCTCGTCTTGTCAAATATTGTTAGTGATGTGCGTGGGTATGACACTTGTCCAGATCCGATACTTTCTCCCGTACTTGAAATGTATAAATTTTCCAGTTATTGGGTATTTTTTAGTACTTATATTGCACACTGGTCCAGCGGGACCGAATTTTGTCCAAAAGTCAGTTTTTTTGTTGTCAAAATTGATTTATAAGTACCAGCATTTTAAAAAGTTTCATTGGTAGAACTTTTTTTTTGCAAATAATTAAAAAACTCTGGTAAAATGATAAGAATTACAATTTTAAAAGTCTAATACAGCCCAAAAGTATGCTTACTCACATATCTTATCATACGATCAGATAATAATGCATATCCTGGAAGGCCACAGTTTAACATCATAAAGTCTTTTAAAATTAATAAATATTTAATAAAAAAGTTATAGTGTTTTATCTTTTGATGATGCAAAGATGAAACAAAAATAAAGACATTTTTGTTATGTCGATTAATATCCTTATATGGCATTTTTAAAAGTTAATAAATCTTAAACCTAACATTTCGTAATAGTAACATTTTTTTTTTGAATTTGTTGTATCTTGGACTTAAAAGTTTGTTAAAATAAATAAAATTCGTTTCCTACTTCTTTTTCAAAAAATAAAATAACCAAAAACTGGAAATAGTTAGTAGTTAGGAAGTTAGTTAGTTAGGAAGTTAGTATTTTTTATTCTTAATTTTTTCTACTTCCACTACGTTAATTATGAGACTTATTTCGTTTAATGGACCTTTATTTTGAATAATCAATAACAAACGAACTTAAGTATGGTTACACATACGTAAAACAATCACAATAAATCTTGGAATTCGAATTTCATAAGTTATCACCATTTTTTTCATTTAAAGAATATTGAGCGAAAAGAAGGTTGTAAGATGGAAAATTACAACATTGCATGTCCGTTCGTTTCCAATCCGATTCCTTGGAGTATTCGACTTCCAAATCCTTCATTGTTTCGTAGGCCAGAGAGCACTGTTGCATAAAAAGAGTATTAATATATAAATAATAAAGACTAGTTCAAAGCAAAGTACCTTATTAGCGAAAATAGTCACAACAAATTTGCCCGGTTTAAATGTGTTGATAACTTGGTTAATAAGTTTCCTATAGTTACTCAACGCAACATTAGTTTCAAAGCTCACATACGAAAACTGATTTTCCGGAGTGATGTGAATCGTCATGTACTCCCCCTGTAGAAATAAATTAGAAAATCTAAATATCTCCTTCTTCTGTATAAAATAAAATGTTACCTTATTATTAATTCCATTCATGGAATATCCGCAAGGATCAAATAGAAAATCATCAATATGCATGTTCGGCAAAATTGTATCGATTCCAGATTCCTGAAATAAAAAAACTGTATATTTATAGAATTTTGGATTAGAGATGTCTTCATACCACAGTGGCCCCATGAGCGTTATCAAATCGATTTTTGTAAAATATCGACATGGTTTCAGGATCTAGGTCTTGCATAAGTATTTCAATAGTCTGATCTGGATCAGAGTCAACGCCTTTATCATCCGTTATGTGTTGGGGAGAAATGTTGACATCAGAACGACTGAATGTATAGAGATACCAACACTCCAAGTTCATTGAACCTAGACAGTAGGATCTTCCGTTCGGAAAAATAGAGTCCAGAAAAGTAACCTCTTCGGTGAAGCCTTGATGTGGAGTTATCTGGATATAGGGAAAGTGTCAGTGACAAAATAATAATGATAATAAAGAATATATTTTGTACCTGTGCTTCGGGTCTAGTAAAATTCTTTCGTGAATAGAACAAGTCTGAAACCACCTCAAATCCGTTGGCCTCTGCCAATTTTAACAAGAGACTTAAACATTTTAAAGGAGTTGTTGTTCCACAAGTTTTAAGAATCCATCTTCGCTTTGAAACGAACATGCTGCTCTCACTATACCGAAATTTAATTTTAGATGGGTTAGAAGTAGTTTTTAGAATAATTTATATTTTGAAATGTTTAATGAGTAAAATATGATGAGAGTCGACATCACATTTATTTTTTATTTACATAAATTAAGATTTAATTATTAATTTCAATAATCTACTACCTTAACACAAAAGCATCTATAGCATCGTTTTTAAAAAAGCTGATTATTTCACAGTTGACATTGCTTAGTAAGTTTTCCCAGTCAGATCTGAAATAATAATTTTTGCATTCGTTAGATTCAAAAGTTTCGATTAACAAAATATATTGAAGGTTCACCAAAAAAAAATTTTGGCATAATGAAACGTGCTTGATTAGAACACATTATCAATTCGAAAGGTCAGGTCAAAAAATCTATACCTTGTACTTCAATTTAATCTATACTTTTATATGAAACCCGGTAGCGCCGCACAGTGGTCGTTTTCCAAAAACTTGTTGCAAAAGTCGAATTTCGTGTTGTGTAATTTTGGATTACTTTTGATACAGTTCTTTAAGGAATTGATCAAGCTATTAAAAACCAGAATTTAATTTACAAAAAATGCTTAAGATGTATAATCGGTGTTTAAAGTTGGTAAGCTGAATGCAACATTTTTTTTGTGTTTTTAAGAATTTATTAAAAAATTTTAGACGTACGTAACTCAACAATTGTGACAGCTTAAGAACATTGGGGTGATGCTTGTTATTATAAATAATAAATAAAGTAGATAACATTAATAGTTCAAATGTTTTTAATTTTGCAACGTGTTTTGAGCAAACGAGCCACTGTGCGCCGGCAATTGTTTCTATCAACTTTGTTGCACGTTTTTTTTTCTTGTTAAACCATACAAATGTTTCTGCTTTTAAGCATAATAATATTAATAATATAATATTTACTTGAGAAGGCAGAAGAAACAGTACAAGGCGCATAAATTTACTTTTGTTCGCGACTGTGCGCCTTGCTTTATTGACAATTTTCCAGCTGTTAAGGATTGTCACTCGTTAAGGTACTTACCTGCTAATGTTACGCAGATCATTCTCGCTGTTGGGGCTTTCCTCGAACCAAATTTCCAGGAGTTTTTCAACCCCCTCAAAAAAGTGTTCACCGTTTTCCAACATGCTTTACAAAACGCTGATAACAAAACAATAGAGGTGGAGAAACGTCAATGCCAAAACATAAGTTACATCGATAATTGGCGGTCCAACATCGATATTCTCCCATCTGTACTCTGCTTACCCTTTACCGCAGCGCTGCCCACCTATTACCATTTTCATAACAGAAATGTTAAAGTATCTGTTGGCAAAACGATGACCTAACATTTTTGTGGAAGGTGTTGAAGACTCTAATCGATATTTATCGAAAGGTCTTTAACTAACTTAATAGCCCGTTCACACTTTTACTTTAAACAATCAGTTTTTAGCAAAATATTAAATTTGTTTTTAATATCACAAAACCAATTTAGTATACTAGTATCGGGTCACTTTTAAAAAAATTTGATTTAACAAATTTACAACTGATGACCAAATTCGATGCGATCCAAAGATTCCGCTTAGTATCAAGCTTTGATTAAAACACAATCAGTTTTTGATTTACATTTTACATTAACCAGTTTATTGTGATTGTTAAAAATTGTATAGAGTATTTTATTTGAAAAAATAAATGAGTAATATTTTTGTATCTTAGCCTAATATGAAGTCCTTATTTTATTTAGACGATTTATGTAGATTCGAAAACAGCATTAAGTTTTTAGTTTCTTATAATTGTATATAATTTAAATATTTCCTTGAAAAGTTTGCATTGCGTGATTATTGCTTTTTGCATAGTTTTACTATTAAAATGTTTTGTGGAGATTATTATATTATCACATGATTTTCGTATAGGCAAGAGATTTAAAACATTATTTATTTTTTAGCTTTATAAGTTGTTCAATTGCAAAGACAGCTGAAAAATCATTGTTAAAACTGAACTTTTCATTTTAATAGAAGCAATTTGTGTTATTAAAAAATTAAAAATACTGTAAAATGGTTTAATAAATATAAATATAATAAATTTTATTTTTAATTTAATTGCATTAAGTAATGATGTCCTTTCTTAAGGTCTATGTTTAGTGTGATATTATTAAAAAGTTTTGACATACTGGTTCAATTTGTATACCTCTTCTACACTAATAAGTATTTTGGTATTAGTTTTTAAAGATACAAATGAATAAAATGTAGTTTTAAAGAATGAAATTTTTTATTAATAATCTATACGTATTTTTAATCCTATACCTTTTGTTTCTTTTCTCTTATGCGACCTCATAAATAAACAAAATGTGTGTTAAAGATTTGTTTTTCGAAAAGTGAGTAGGGGAATATATTTGGCGTTTTATGTTAACTTTGCATTATTTTCACTGGAAACAAGGTTAAGCGGTGCGGATAGGTCCGCACTTTCACAGGTATCATTAAACGCCGGCATAGAATTTGACTTCTTCCGCCTTAATAAAATATCTTTAAGTGCTGCTGCGGTTTCTGAGTCATCAATTTCCTTTTTGTATTTCTAAAATTAAACGAAGATAGTTGTAGTAAAAATAAGAAAGGTTTTGCGTCAAATTGGCTGCCTTCTTCTCTTCACGAGTACCAAGAACCAAATAAATTTGGTGAAATTAATAAGAATTCCTTTTGCAAAGAAAACACCAGATTTTTTTGGTTTGGTAAATGAATTCCTTTTGAAAAAGCTCCCTAAAACTAAACCAACTTGTTCGTAATTTTGAAATATCTATATATACTTACAGTTAAAACCAAGCCAGAAATATCAAGGGGTTCCCTAGACGTCAAGAATTCTGGTTTCGTTGGTTCCATTGAAGAACATGCTGACATTTGCTTGTGTTCTGTAAATGGAATAAATGGAATAGAATAGTTATTTTTATAATAGGCACTTACATTATCTAGTTATATACGGAAATAAGCAAACAAGCTTACTACAATTTAAGCACCTCGCAGGTCTGAGAAAAACATGTTAGACAATAATCTTGTTTTGCACGTTTTCCGACCCCTTAAAATATTTATATTCTAATCAGCATAACAAGGTAACAAAATTATAGCTTCGCTGTTTTTTAATTTATTAGAATGTACCACAAAATATTATAATAGTTTACTATTTAAAAATTACGAATTTTATTTATATTAGTTAGCTTTCTTTCTTATTTTGTTCTGTTTGTTTTTTCCAAGGCGAAAATCAAATAGATATCATAACTAAAACCTGCGTATTAAATCCCAAATCAATTTACAGATTTGTATATAACAAAGAGTCGGAAACGCTTGCTTTCTCCCGTTTGCTTCTTCCCATTTAGTAGCGTAAACAAGTAGAAAGCATTTAAAAGAACTCACTTTTTTTAGATCGCTCCAATTCTTTAGGACGCCTGCGTCTGGTGTGTATGGTATCGCGTCTCATTGAATGCGGCCTGTTGACCCCATGCAGCTTGAAATACAATCCACAGGCGTTGCAAACCATTTCTCCTCGAACACTTCGTCTCCAAATTGTTGTGGTGAGGGTGCCACAATTCGAACATGACATATCTTTTTGAGCACCAGGTATGGCATTAAAAAGGTTAATGTTCTAAAGCAAAATATATAATTAGTATATGCAATAGTAAAGAGAACTACAGTTGTGTACCCTTTTATCTTTCTTTTCCTCCGGAGCTGCTTCTGAAGTGGTATAAGTATCAGTCACATTCTCATTAACTACATCGATGCAATCAGTTTTGGTAGGAAAACTTTGTTTTCTTCTACATGGTTTTGATTTGCTGGATTGAGCCTCTGATAGATCCTAAAGTTTCAAAATTTAAATGCGTTAGATTTTCTTAGAACTTTTAAATGTTAATATTAAATCCATCACTTGCCTTTAATAGTGCTATGGGTTCTTCAGGTACTTTTGTAAATGATACTGTCGACGGAACCGGAAACACAAAAGACTGGCTCATCATGCTACGGATTATTTGTGTTGCCTGATTTTCCTCTTTGCTTTTAGCTTTAAAGAAGACATAAAATCAATTTATATGACAAGTCAAAGTCAAAGTAAAATACAAATAATAAATTCTGATTTAATGTTTAAGAGAATGTCAGTTTATAGGGCTAGTTAAAGTGTTAGTAAACAGTACTTACCGGCTGATCGGGCCAGTGCCTGCCAGAGCTGAGTAGTGGCCGCATCCGTCGCGTGATCCGAGCTAAGGCTATCCGGGGTCTTTCTATCGTTAATGGAGGAGGTGATGTCCATCTCCAGTTTGTGAGAATCGGAGCTGTCGCCAGAGTCTAGTAAGGAGCCGGTGCTGGGCTTTGGAGCCTTCGATTTGTAGTCGGACCCACCAACTTGGTTAATGGTAATACTGTAGTTTTGAAAATCCTCTTCACTTCTTAAGTGTGACTGAATATCAAGCATTGGAGTTTGGCAAAAATTGTGTATTGGGGCCGAGTTCCGTTGATTAGAGTAATCGTTCTTTTGTTTTTTGACGGATAAGTCAATTTCAACTCCGTCCTGAATTTCATTTTGGTTTAATGGACGTTTTGATTTTATCACAGAACTTTTAATACTTGTATCTACAGCTGCAGAAAAACACGGAGATTGAGGATTCGAGCATGGAGGGGAAATTACAATCTTTTTGCTTATATCCATTAGAACAGCAGCTGTTTCAAGCTGCTGCTGCAAATTTTCATATTTCTCGATTTCCGAGTCCTTTCGCAGTTTTGAATCAAACTGACTGTGTTGTGAGGATCCAGGCATTAGATTTTTTTGATCGCTTTTTATATTAATTGATTTGAATAAACTTGGATATACGCTATGTGGCATAAGCAACTTATCATCTTGATTGCTAATCTCGATTTTCCGATCCAAACCGGGCTGGATGGCGGAATCTATTTTACTGTGGTCGTACTTAACTTTAGAGAACGTGCTCAGCTCCGTCAGAGCCTTCGCCGCTATAGCCTCTGATGAAGCCTTCAAAATTGCATCAAGCTTAATTTCCAAATCATTTGCGTCCTGAGAAAAATTGAAATCATTTAGTTTAGGATAAAACACAAGTTATTAGTAATGTAGAGTACAAAACAGATTTGTTGTATCAGTTATTATACTGTCGGAGTGTTTTTTAAAATAGTCACAGATATTTTACAGTTGTTTACTTGTTTTATCTCTTTACATTTTGATTAAAATACAATTGACTGGAATTTATGGCATTTAAGTAAATTATATAGGTTTGCAGAAAAACATATTGATTGGTGCCTGTTGACTGTTACCAATACTTACTAGTTTCAGATTTTTTGATAAGTTCAAAAATTCTTTCAAAGCTTTTTGTGAGTTGTGCGCCATGGTACGAAATTTTTCAAACGAATCCAATTTTTGTCTGCAGTCACCGCAAATCACGCTGGGTAATTCATCGTTCGGCAGTACCTGAAACAAACATAGATTTATTTTTATAACTTTGTTATTAAAATAGCTTGTAATGAGAATGATGCAATGCGTAAGGGGTATGGTGGTAATAAAATCGATTGATGGGTTTGATGACTGGTTAGTCAGACTCGTCTAGGTGGCTCTAATTGGTAAAAACATACATATTTATACACCTAAAACTTTCAAAACAATGAGATTAAGATAAGAAATAAGTATCTATATTTAACCCTATATGGGACTTGCTTTTGTTACTGTTACAATAATATAACCCACAATAATATTTTAAGAAATCAAAAATAGAAACCATATGGGCTATATAAAATGCATGAAAGGATTTCCAAGAAATAAAATATATTATTTAAAAATTTGAAGAATTTTATATTAAAATGTAACCTTCCGAAAAGAGATCAAAAGGGAAAGGCATTTAATAGGTTTTATTTGATAATAACAAGCACATAAACAAATATATATTTTTGTAGATAGTTCGTTCAGTGGTGTTATATTTGAAACACAAAGTTCCCTATGTATACAGGTACTAAGGCAATCAAGTTGGAGTGAAACAAATGTTATCTCTGGCGTGGATTAATGTAGGTCTCTAACGCGTTCATACATATATACATATATAGCTACATATCAATATTTACATTCGTGTGTGGGACACTGATGTACGACCTGGCTGGTGATTGTGTGCGTGGGGCATTGCCTCGAAGTGGTTCATCGAAAAAATACCAAACAATTGATACCGATTGTTAATAGGCCATGGGATAAAAGCGGCCCAATCATTTCCTATTATTTTGACGTGTGGTGTCGTAATCACATAGATAACGCACACAACCCCACGGCGAGCACTCGCAAATGCGAGTGTGTGTGTGTGTGTGTGTAAGTATACGGGATATATCCACACACCGTATATCCACGCTTGTGTGTGTGCGTAATTAATGTAAATTCGTTTCTGTGCAAATGTGTTGGATGGAAATCTGCTTACCTTAATAGAGAGACAGTTGAATATCTGAAATGTAAGATGTGGTGATGAATCATCTCTGCCGTGCTCTTGGCCGTAGTTATCGGTTCCGCTTATTTTTGTTATATTCACACTTGTGTCTTCGCGTTGATTATGATTATGTACTGGAACTGGACGTTCTTCCCGCGGGAGTTTCGATTTGGATTGGGAATGGGAATGGGCCTCCCCACATGCAATGTTTTCGTGGTGTTGGTGTTGCTGTTGGTGTTGTTGTTGCGTCGACGATGACGATGACTGACTTTTGAATACTGATCTTTCGGCGATGTCCGACTCCAATTGGCATTGGCGTTCGCGTTCACTCGACTTTGTGTCCGCAGCAGAAGGCACACTTGGTGTGTAATGCGTTTGATTTAGGGAAAGAAGGGACTGCGATTTGGGATGGCTTGGACCCGTACCCGTTTCGTTATTGGTCAGCACTACGGATACTGATAGCGAGTTATCACCGATGCAGCTGCACAGATTGGGGCTCGGGGCGCCGCAAAAGCAGCCAGCACGCTTTTCGTCTCTGCGGAACTCGGTCGAATTTTTGTCTTGGGCACTATTATGCGATAAAACATCGTAAATTTGTAGTTCTGCAACATCGCACTCGTTAACCAATGTGAGGCACAATCGACAAACTTGACGAAACTTATGTGGTACATTATACATAATTAGAAATTTATATGTGTTTGCACTGTGTAAAGAAACTTTCATACGCCTCTCCTTTTTCGAGATAAAAAAGATAACTTTAAAATAAATTATAAAATGAATGTAAACACTATTCCTCAATTTTTCATTGTCACAATCCACGTTCAGCTCACTAAAAATAATTCACTCCAGTGGTTCGCCACGGATTTTGTGTTCATTTGATCTGGTTTCCCGTTCAAATTACCAAACGAGGGCTCCAGCGCCACTCGCATCTGCATGATTCATCACCGTGTCGCGTTGAGTAGTTAAATTGTTTATTTAATTCAGGTGGTAAGACGGAAAAGGTAACAGAAGACAATGAAAACCATCAAAGAAATGTCAATTTGTGAGACCAAAATATTGGTGAGATGAACTAGTAAATATACCAAAAATAGGGATTTTGGTATCTCAGTTATCGATACAATTTTCAGCTACTAATGTTAGCGTAAATAAAATAAATGACCCTTGAAAAATTATAAAATTAACATTTACTTTATTGCCTTTTGTAAAATATTCCCATTCGCTTTAAATTAAAATATCGAGTTTATGTTGCGGACCGTTTACAAGGGCCGTCGTTGTTCTAAATACCGAAATCTCATAAACTACATCCCAGGTTAACTGTTGCGATTTTTGATATATATTCATGAATCTTTTTACTTTAATTATTAACAGCACAGTTCAACACAATGTCTTAAATTGAATTATATTACATATATATTTTTGTACACATAAAAAATAAATATGTAACACATGCACTAAATAAGCAAGTACGGCGAGTTATACTCAGAAGTGGAAAACTGTAATCCTTTTTGTTATTCGCATATGCCCAAAACCAAAAAATATATTATTTATTTAATTATTTGCTTAATTACAATACTTTAGGTTAAAAAGAACATTAATGGACTATATAAAACAATAAAAAAAAGTTAAATAATGATCCATTCCAAGGGCAGTCATGTAAAATATTTATCTTGATGGAACGTGTGGAATAGTAACGAGCCAAGAAATGAAAAGTTAGGTCACTCCGAAAATCATTCACTTGATAGTAAATAATTTGGTCACACTACACGTTTTAGGATTTAAATAATTTCAGAAAACAAGGCTGATGAATTATAAACTTGCGGTGGCGTTTACCTTTTTAAAGGGGAAGACCAAAGAAAAACTTATCCAAACGGAAAAGATTCTTATTTCAATAAGCTTCAGAATTGTACTAGATGTAAGGACATGGTCATTTTATTTATTGAAGCAAGAAGCATTTGCCCCACGGAGGTACGGTTTTTAAATATTAAATGACTATTTGTTTTTACAAGTTGCAGAACACTAAGTATATTTTAGTAACATAACTTAACATTTTTTTTTGTATCAATGTTAACATTACTATCTCGGTCCTTCCGCTACGGCTACGGGCAGGACATTTCCAAGACTACTAGCAGACTGTTTGATTGCAATGTAGGCGGAATCCTTTTTCTTTTCCTCTCCGGCAGGTTTGCTGAAATACCATTCCTTTTTGTTGGCCAGAAACAGCAACATCAGCGCAGGCAGGTGTATTAGAGAAAATCGGAAGAGTTTCCGAGAGCTCCCGCTGTCCGACTTTTCATAGAACCTATATGCTGCAATTAAAAAAGAACCACGTTTGAGATAATGCTTGGTTTAAAAAGGAAAAACAGATTTTTACCAAGGTATGCGAAGTAAGCGTTAAGAGGTAGTGTTTCCAAAGCAAACCAGTAGTTCGTCACGTCCAGAACCGGTGCCATTACCGAAAGTCCGGCGATAGCCACCGAATATCGCAGAGCGGTGCGGCGACAAAGTCCCGGATTGGTGACGGCCATCATCCGGTAGCCGGCACGAGAGTAATCCGGCCTCAGGTTCCACGACAGCGCGTTGAAGTGCGGAAACTGCCAGGCGTACAATACTCCAGCCAGGATCATGGCTCCCGCGTCCAAGGTGCCAGCACATCCCGCCCAGCCCATCAGGGGCGGAATGGCGCCCACTATCGATCCCACCCAGGTGTTCAATATGCTGATCCGCTTCATGGGCGTGTATATCGTGGTGTAAAGGAAGAGGTTTCCCGCTCCCAGCGCCGCCGTCAATCCGTTTGTCCCGAAATACAGCATGCTCAGTCCAGCGGTTGCCGATACCGCCGCGAAGGTGACTGCGTGCAGAGGAGTCATTTGGCCGGTGACGAGCACCCGGTTCTTCGTTCTGGACATTTGCGAATCGAAGGGAACTTCGTGATACTGATTGATGGCATTCGCCGCGGCCGAAACGAGTCCTGTGCCCAGCGTGCACATCGCAAACGAGGCGGGATCAAATGCAGCCGGTGCCATTGCATAGCCGCCCATGGCCGTTATGACCACCAGAGCTGGAATTGAGATAGTTCTTAGCTACGATGGTCCTCACACCACAAGCCACCACATCACTCACATGTTAGCCGGAATTTAGACAGCTTCTTGTACTGACTGAACGTTTTCCCGGGAATGGTGTACGGACTGGGCACCCAGGGTAAAAACTGCACTTTTCCCGACTGGGACACTGGCGGCAATGGACTGACACTTTTGTCATCTTGGGGTGATGGCGATACTGTTGCCGCCGTGGAGTACTAACAAATAATTATGAAAGTTATAGTTTGTTGGGCATTGCGTAATGCTCGAGAACCTCACCCGGATGAGCACCAAGTCAACAGGCGTTTTTAGCTGGGTTTGCACCCTCCGAATTCCCTTGAATAATATCATTATTATTCAGTGATAAGTAATGTAGTCGGTTATTCCATTTTTCTAGTCGTGTTTTAGTTTCTATTATTTTTGCATATCAATATTATAGTTGTTTTTAAATCACATTGTGCTTAAGTGTTACCATATCTCAAACTAAGGAAAATCCCAAAATGAGAAGAAAATAATCAGAGGTATTCAAATATTTTTAAAGTTGGCTCGGAAATATTTTATTTAATTGTAATTGAACAATTGTTCAAAAATTAAACGGAACTTAAATTAAGATATATTTTGCTGTGCTGCTTCATTACTTAAATCCAATTGACAGAACGAACGGGCATAAGGTTAAAAATATTTTTAAATTGATATTTTCAAAAAGAACTCCGATTTTTACCCCTAATACTACTTTTAATAATTTATAACTATATAGTAATTTACATATTTTTGAAAAAACTAAATCGTTATCATAAAAAGTATTCTTAAAAATACTATGAACATTGGTCTTGGGATCTACGCATGCGCCAAACGTGTAATTTAGACGATGTGTGTGGGAGTAATTTTTACATGTGAATGCAGGAAGAAGGGCCCAAGTCCTTGTAAGTCTTCATCGATTCAATAATTGCAAATTATGGTTGTTTCAATAAAAAAAACCGTTTTAATGTTAGTAAATACAAACCATAGATGTTAAAACAAGTCAACTATGTGAAGATTTAGTAAAAAAACAGTGCCTATACAAGCTTTTGTGGAGTTTTCTTTGAAAATTAATACCCACCTGCCATAATTTTTCGGCTAAATTCATTTTCCTTAAATTGAAGAATAAATATAAAATGATTAAAATATTGCTCTTGGACTGACGATTTTTAAACGACATTAATAATATATAAAACAACTTGTGTTTTGGTGTTCCAAGTGTCTGCAAATACGAATACAGGCAAAAATTAGTTTTTATAAGGAAAGTAGAGAGGTAGCTACGTCCAGGAATAAATAACGGGAAAAATCTTTAATAAAAGATATTACATTTGTTTAATGAATATTCTATTAGGTTATAAGTAATAATAAATATATTAAGATAAAGTGAAGATAAAATTCCATCGCCAAATTTTTACATAACTCTTAAGATCTTAAGACTATATTATATAAATATATTTGTCCGTGATATTTAATTTCTAAAAACTTTTTCTTTTCATCTAGGTAAATTAATCAAATGCCAAGCTCAAGAATGGATATTTATATAACAAAGGGGATTACCAACCCAAACTATCCTGGATTTCAAAAATTTGCGCATACACTCTCTGATGACTACATTCAGTACTCTGACATGGAATGTAATGAAAGCGATTTAACGGATAGCGACAGAGAGGACGACCAAAACACTTTTCAAAATAAGGTTTTCAGCAAAACATGTTCAGAAACGTTTGAAAATACCCAAGATTTGATTTTGAATAAGTGCGATAAGCGAGCGTTCGATAATGGAAATACATATTTATCCGAGGAAATTGGAAACCGGTCGTCATCCCCAAATATACCGGATATTGTAAACAAAAATTGTAATGCCATATCAGAAAACTCTATCCGAACTTCAAATAAGCCGGACCTTATTTATAATTTAAGTCAGAATTATATGACCAATTCTGACTTCTCTCCCTGGTCATGTACAAATAACTCTCAATATGAGGGCCAACTGCAAGGACAAAGTCCGATCGATATCGTAGGAGATTTTGGCGGAGAGGTCGAAAGGGAATTCGAGCTGCTTATCACTGGATATAAAAACAAGAAAGCACTAGATGGGTTGCAGGGATCAAATTTGACAAAGGTAACATTTTAATGCAAAAATATGCAAATATACAAGCCATCTATATGTACATATACATATGTTAACAGATTAGCGACGCAGAACTATCAAATGGAACAGAAGCTCTAAAGCATACACCCTCGGCGCGATTGTCTGGCCACAGCAGTCGCAAAAATAAAAAGAAAAACACACCATATGGACTTGAGTTAACAAAAACTAAGCATCAAAAACCGTCACATGATGAGCGACAGCTTCCACCGGACACCTTCGACTATAAAACGTATACCCAACGAAAATACATTATTTGCGATTCTGAAAGTTATTCGTCTCAGAAAAACAAAAATGAATTGCAGAATACTAATCAGGGTGAAATACCTAACATGAGCAATTTAGAAATCGGACAAAGTCAGCAACATCTTGAAGAAGACAATCAGAAGGTGGCCAATCGGAGGTACTTAAATCAATCATGCTGGTCTCAATACTTGGAAGATCCTATCAAGTTTTCCAAAGATCCATCCCCTACAATGGTATTAGGTAATTGTCAAAGCAATTTCAAGCATAAAAAACCATGTTTTGTAATTTTAAAACTGCCCCTTTTTTTGTTTATGTTTATAGAACAATTTGATGCATACAAGGTAGCAAATGATATGGACGTGGAAACTTTACAAAACCATTTTAAAAAAGTTAAGCAAATCGAAAAAAAGGTGAATACTATAATAAGTGAAAATAAATCTTATTCATTGATATGTGTTATAAAAATATATTTTTTTTATTACAGCGTCGCTTTAATCGAGATGAAATCCGTAAAAGGTTGGCGATTGGGGATAAAGATCCTTTAAATAATGGTACGTGTATAATACAAAACTCAAAATCTTTTCTACTTTAACTGCCTAAATATGTATCTATCCTTTCTTCAGAAATAAAAAAAGATGACTTTCTAACCGGATCTGATAATGAAAGCTATAGTTCTGACTCTGAAACGTGTCCTAAATTATCAAGTGGAGTACTTCGCAAGCAATCGGAAATTAGTGAAACAAAACTTAATAAGGAATTTGAAAACGATAAAATATTTCAAAAGAACCAAATCAATCAAGAAAAAACCATGAATCAAACGATTAATGGTAACCCTATTGAAAAACCTGATTTTTCATCAAATGAAACATTGTTTTTCTTTGCGAACCAATCAAAGCTACAAATAGAGGTTAGAATAGCCCTCGCTCAATCCAAGGAAATAGCGCAAATGAAAGTTAAGGTACATTTGTATAAACATTGTATTTATATTTATTTATAACTAATAATTTCTCTATTTTTAGGCAAAAAAGCATGGCGTCACACCCATTGTGGATGTAATTCGGTCAATGTTGTGTGATGTTGGTATTAAAATGGACTCAAATCATCGGTGGATATCAAGACAGTTGCTCACCGGAATACACGTTCCGGTTCTACAACTATTGGTCAATAATCTTCAGAAGTATATTGAAAATTTAAATCTAACTCTACTAGAAAGTCTTAAGGAGCGAGACGATCTAAATTCGGACCAAGATGATATACTACATGATCTTGAAAAAATAAATAGCTTTTTGTGAGTAATAGAAATGATTTCATCACAAACATTAATTTATTTTAGCGTTTTCACTGGCTCGACAAAAATTAAGAAAAACTATTACAGTTGTTGTATAATTTATTCGTTAACATTAAACAGTAGACATTGAATGTTGAACCTTTTTGTAAAACCAATGATATCATTCAAAAATAGTTATTTGAACTCCATATTTTTCACCTTTTCAAAACGTTTCTTTCTTTTTCTTTTCTTTCTAGTGTTTTCCAACAGCAATCTGGACAGCAGTCAATAAAATAATTCAACACGGCCTTCTTTATTAAAAACTTTAAAGTTGCATATATTATTAAAAATTTGTTTACAAATTTATTTGTATAATTGATAACAATCTACCGAGACCGTTTATAAAACACCTACTCAACAAATGTTCTTTAAACACTGTTATATTTATGTAATTATTTGATGCTATATAAATAAAAGCAAAAATAAATAATATATATTAATACTACAAAAATATTTTATTTGTTTAATTTTTTAAAAGTCATGAATTATGGAAAAGACATAAGAAAAGACATAATTGATTTATAGATTCTTATTAAATAATAAACAAGCTTATTATTAGTTGGAACATATAAAATAATCTGGGATCTCGATCGTTTCAAAATTGTGCTGTCCGAAAAAAGGGCATTTAGTGATCTTGCTATACGGTCACATTAAAATTGACTTTAACTTGGCGCCTTTTTATGTTTGCAACAAGCAATTTTCCGCCACTTGTAAAATAAAGCAGCCAACATGTTGAAGAATAAATCCATAAAAACATCCAAGTTATATGTTATCAAAAGAGGTATGTTCTTTTGCTGTACAGCGGCAACTGTTCTAAGGATATTTGTTTTTTAGATGGCCGGAAGGAGGAAGTACATTTTGATAAAATAACCTCAAGAATACAGAAGCTTTGCTACAACTTGAACATGGATTTTGTCGATCCTGTAAGTTTGTTTCTTTTGTGTAAACATGATAGTCTTATAGGGTCCATTTAGGATTACTAATTGGTGTAAGTATTGGCGATTTTAAAAGTTCTGAAATAAAGCTCATTTGGGACTCCTCTGAACATAAAGAGTTAAGCACCACCTCTTCATAAATATTAAGTACTTATCTAAACAAACATACTTACTTTTGGAATTGCATATTAGAAAATATGTTTACTAACAAATAATATGACCTACCATTATAGGTCTCAATTACTTTGCAAGTTATCAATGGTCTGTACTGCGGGGTGACTACTCAGGAACTGGACAACTTGGCTGCCGAGATTGCAGCCGGATTAACATGCAATCATGCCGACTATGCCATTTTAGCTGCTCGCATCGCTGTTTCCAATTTGCACAAGGAGACGAAGAAGGTTTTTTCCGGTATTGTTAACTTTGACTATAGAAAAACGGAGTTTTTATTAATTATTTGCGTTTCTTAGATGTCTTTGAGGATCTGTACAATCATGTGAACAAGGAAACGAACCAGAAGGTTCCCTTGGTCTCGGAATTCCACTACAATGTGGTGAAAAACAACGCCACTCGCTTGAACTCCTCCATAATCTATGATCGTGACTTTGGGTACAACTACTTTGGTTTTAAAACCCTCGAACGTTCGTACCTGCTGAAGAGAAACGGAAAGATCGCCGAGCGTCCGCAGCACATGCTGATGCGCGTGGCGATCGGAATCCATGGAGAGGACATCGATGCGGCCGTGGAGACCTACAACCTGCTGTCGGAGCGGTTCTTCACCCACGCCTCGCCAACGCTTTTTGCCGCAGCCACAAATCGGCCGCAACTGTCGTCGTGCTTCCTGCTGACCATGACGGCCGACTCGATCGAGGGCATCTTCAAGTCGGTGGAACAGTGCGCCATGATCTCGAAATCGGCAGGAGGCATTGGACTGAATGTCCATTGCATCCGGGCCAAGGGCACCTCCATCTGCGGCACGAATGGCACCTCCAATGGCCTGGTACCCATGCTCAGGGTCTTCAACAATGTGGCACGTTACGTGGATCAGGGTGGCGGCAAGCGGCCCGGTGCCTTCGCCATTTACCTGGAGCCCTGGCACTCGGACGTGTTCGAGTTCCTGGAACTCAAGAAGAACACCGGCAAGGAGGAGAATCGCGCCCGCGATCTCTTCTACGCCCTCTGGATACCCGATCTTTTCATGAAACGCGTCGAGGCCAACGGGGACTGGTCGCTGATGTGTCCGCACAAATGCCCCGGCCTGCACGATGTGTGGGGCGATGAGTTCGAAAAGCTGTACACGCAATACGAGCAGGAGGGCCGTGCGAACCGGACGGTCAAGGCACAGTCCTTGTGGTTCGCCATCATTGAGTCGCAGGTGGAAACCGGCAATCCGTACATGCTGTTCAAGGATTCGTGCAACAGGAAGAGCAACCAGCAGAATGTTGGCACCATCAAGTGCAGCAATTTGTGCACCGAAATCGTTGAGTATTCCGCGCCGGACGAGATTGCAGTGTGCAACCTGGCATCCATTGCCCTCAACATGTTCGTCACGCCCGAGAAGACGTATGATTTCAAAAAACTGAAGGAAGTCACCAAGACGGTTACCAGAAATCTCAACAAGATAATTGACATCAACTTTTATCCCCTGCCAGAGACAAAGAAATCTAATTTGAGGCATCGTCCGGTGGGCATCGGTGTCCAGGGTTTCGCTGACGCCCTGATTCTCATGCGATTCCCATACGAAAGCGAGGAAGCCGGTCTTTTGAATCAGCAGATATTCGAAACCATTTACTACGGCGCCTTGGAAGCCAGCTGTGAGCTGGCGCAGGTCGAAGGTCCCTATGAAACCTACGAGGGCAGCCCCGTGAGCAAGGGAATTCTGCAGTACGACATGTGGGACAAGAAGCCCACGGACCTGTGGGATTGGCAGAAACTGAAGGAGTCCATCAAGCAGCACGGTGTCAGGAACTCCCTGCTGGTTGCACCCATGCCCACGGCATCCACTGCCCAAATAATGGGCAACAACGAATCTTTCGAGCCCTACACAACTAACATTTACACCCGGCGCGTTCTGTCCGGTGAATTCCAGGTGGTCAACCATCATTTGTTGAGGGACTTAACCGAGCTGGATTTGTGGGACGACGATATGAAGAACCAGATCATTTCCAGCAGGGGTTCAATCCAGAACATTGAGGCCATTCCCCAGAAGGTTCGCGATCTTTACAAGACCGTGTGGGAAATCTCCGTGAAGTCCACAATTAAAATGGCCGCAGATCGTGGTGCGTTCATCGACCAAAGTCAGTCGTTCAACATTCATGTGGCAGAGCCGAACTACGGCAAACTGACGTCCATTCACTTTTACTCCTGGAAAGCTGGCCTCAAGACCGGCATGTACTATCTGCGCACAAAGCCAGCTGCGAACGCGATTCAGTTCACCGTGGATAAGAAACAGAGTGCATTGAAGGTAAATGGCCAGAATGGCACCTCTGAGCCAATCCCCGAAAGCTATGAGTCGGACAGGGAACGGAAAATGGCCGATATGGTTTGTTCGCTGGAAAACAAGGACGCCTGCATGTCCTGTGGCTCTTGATGGACATGCATTTAACATTAACATTTATTTAATTGTATTTTGTAATCACAACATTGAAATAAACATAAATTATGGATTGGAAATTGGATAACTTTCATGTTCATAGCAATAATGATCCTTCAGAGAATGCAACCCATTTAGTAAGTAAAAGCAAAAAATATACACTAACAAATTTGAATTTTATTTCAGATTACAATCGGATGCTAAACGCGTTTTCGATTCTTTGGAAATGTTGATTGTGCCACTTGTATAATGGTTGTGAACGACGTCCTGCGGTGTGGATGCATACTGATGGGACATGGCATTGTCCGTGATTATTTTCCGCACGACTTCCTCAACCGTTGGTGTCGCTGTCTCCAAGTCCGCCTGCGTCTTGTTGTCCAAGTTGACAAGGGTTAGTGGCTGGTCGGAGTGGAGTACGGAATCCACGCCAGTCTTGGCATTGCAGAAGTCCAGGATCCAGGACACCACAAAGAAGCAGGCGGCGTTCATCGGGAATGCTCTGATCAAAGTCGAGTTTAGCCCGCGGAAAAAAAACTGAGGGCCCTCGTTTTTAAATCCCTTTATTGCACAGTCGATAAATCCATTGTATTTGGCGTTGCTCCCAAGCGCATCGGCCTGCATGTGCGTTTTCACCACGTCGATGGGGTAGCAGGCCAGCCAGGAGGACATCCCCGCCAATCCGCCGGCAGTTAGAGTGTACAGGATGCTGGGAGTTTCCACTTGCCGCATTAAATACTCGAAGGACACAAAGTAGGCGGAAAAGCCTGGTTAAGCAAAGAAGTTGGAGGTCAGCAATAATAATGTTTCTGCTCGATTCAGAAATACGATTTTGATTTAAAAGAGGAAAAAGAAAGATCTATTATTAAATATAAACTTAAGAGTTTATACCAGTGGTACTTCTAATCACCTTTTCGAAAATATAGTTTTTAAATGGCAACGCGTTTTTCTCGAAACGATAGTTTTCAAGATTGCTGGCACTATTATAAATTGATAAATTTACTGATTGAATTCTATTTCAAGATGAAACTGAGTATTTTTAATCCATTAATTATATAATAACCTGCGATCTTTTGATAGTAAATTTGGAATTCTTATAAAGTTGAAAGCATTCTATCGAGTAGTTTCTTAAAGAAACAAATTTCCTAATTTTATTCATGGCTTGCACTGGTATAGCACCTCGAAAGTTTTTATATGAGACATAGTTATTTTTAAGCAAAATTCCACGCAAAAACTTTAAATCAATTTTATTTCAACTTCAATTTATTTTACCACTTCCCAGGAAGATTAAAATCCTTTATAAATCTGTCCAACATTTTTTTACTATATCCAAATTGGCTTAATACCTTTTGATACATTCAAATGCAACAATGCAATCAAGAAGTTAAATATGTTAAAATAGTTAGTGGGTATAGATCGTATAACATAATGTTCAAAATTTAAAGAAAGCCTGTATAATTAGCTACTGCATTTTAAAAATTATTTGTAGAGTTTACTACGAAAGTATTTTACTACGAGAACAATTTAATTACAAAAAAATAATATGTTACAGAGAGCTTGGGCAGTTTTAAAAAATATTGTTTCTATATTACTCACATTTTTTAGTTTTTTTTTACGAAGTGCTTTTGGTTTTAGAGTGGTTTTTTGTGCGATTATAGGTGTTTAGCCTAACTAGTAGTAAAATTAAATAAAGCTAAGGAATCTTACCTGGAATATCTCTCAGGATGGTAGCTACTAGTCCTTTAAAGGCGCCTCGTATACCTTCGGTTTTTAATATGTGCCTAAGGCAATGGATAGGTCCAGTAAATTTTATCCCACTGTCGATGTGCGAGGATAACTGAAGTCTCGTTTTGGCCAACTCCATGGGGGCACAAACGAAACTTTGCGCTACGCCAGCTATGGAACCCGCGTAGAAGTGGGACTGGAGCGAGTTGGGATCGCTGGACAGTCGTTGAACATTTCCGTACACCCCGAAGACGATGGCATTGACCAATCCTATTCCACCCATAGGACTAGTAATTCCACGGTACAACCCACGAAAGCTCTCCTTTTGCACTATCGTCCGGAAGCAGTGGAATGTGCCTTTGTATTTGGGGTTACGGGGATTATCGGTTTGCAAGTGTACTTTCACGGTATCGAAGGGGTGGCCAACAAGAACACCAGCAGCACCTGAAATTCGAAAACAAATTATTTGAAAAAAAAACCCTTAAAAAATACAGTTAGCAGCATAAATACCCCCGAAAAGTCCGGCGACAAAATCCACAACCATTTTTGGAGATAAGGCTTCAGAGGTTACCTTCACTTGAAATTCTCCGATTTCTGAACCTCTCTTTCCGTATGGATCCTGAAACCATAAAGTCGATTGAATTTAATTGCACAAACAATTTAGTTCCGGTAATGGTAAACACAAAATTTCTGCTGTTGTTTTTAAACGTTTTTTAACGACCAAATTATACTTGGCAGACAAGTGATCAATAATTGATCTCGCACATACTTATTCCTAATTGAAATGCCTAATTTTAATAGGTTTCTTAGCCAAATGTTAAAATACTTCTCGATTACTCGCTAGAATAATTTGTCGCGTGTGTCTTAAAACAATTTTTCAGTTGTCGCGATGATTTTTTTCATTGGCTGAGGTTAGAGTAACTGATAACGCCAATATGTTTTATTCAAAACATACAATAAAAACAAAGGTGTATTCAATATTGCGACTGCAAAATACCGCCTTCTAAAATTAAGTTTTATGTAATTTAAAGGCGTTAGCTTAACTAACTAGTAAGCATACCATAAAAGAACCAACATAATCTAAAAAGAGTCGAAAAAATTAGGTTTATAAATTCAAACCTAAGAAACATATTTGGAATTTTAAAACTTAAACCTAAAACCTAAAATATTCCGACTTTTCCCTGCTAAACTTTTAAGTTTAAGTATTTTTTTGAGTATTCTATAGTCGGTACTCCCAAATATTAGTATATAATCAGTTTTTATTGTACATTATGTAATTAAACTTAGCTTGGACATTTGTCGCGACTCTTGTTAGAGATTAAGAATCTTAATGTCATTAATCTGACCTCTCCACAAACTAATCGCACTGGGTATCAACGACTTTGCACATTAAATAACAGTTTATTGACTTACTATTTTATAAATAAATAAAAACACATTCCTAATTTAATTTAGGTATTTTACCTTTCCATCGTTAACACGAAACATAAGCAATATGGGATGCATCTTGAACTATGTAGTTAGTTTCTAAAATCATATGGAAAGAACATAATGCTTAACCATCATAAGTTGTCAGTGTTTGTCATGCTGGAAGAAAGAAATTAAAAATAATAAAACTTTTATTTAATAAAATGTATTATTGACTTAAATGTGTACAAAAACGAATTTAGTAAAAATCTTCAAGTTAAACATTACATTTAAATTGAATTTTTAAACTTAAAATTTGCAAAATCTCTTAATTTTGTAAATAGGCTTAGGCTTGGATAAAGTCTTGAAATAACAAAAAGATTTCATCGAGTTCACCAACCAACATTCGATATCTGCGCTACTTTACTACTTACCAAGAAGTAATAGCATTTCTTTCCACATCATTATAAAAAGTAAATAATTTTGTTAACAAAAATGTATTTATTTCAAAAATTTGTCGTTTGATACGATTACTTTGTTACGTTTTGGGACAGAACTTGATAGGCATCCCTTTTCAAAAAATTCTTTGCAAAACCCTTTTAATTTTTGCAGAGGGTATTATATTTTTCGTCAGATGTTAGTAACACAGATAAGGAAAAATTAATATAGTGTATATATTCTTTATAAACATCAACAGGCAAGTCGAAATACGGTTGCCTATTGCAAATGTATTTATTTGGTCAATTTTAAAGCTAAGGGACTTGAAACTTTAGTAATCGAGTGCTTTTATTCGCCGAGTGATCAGGTTTAAAAACGTTCCTTTTTACGATATAGACATTGGAATCATTAAACAAATAATAAATAAAATCCATGTTTTTAAACTTATAGGCAGAAATACGGTTTTAGTTTTATCTGATATTCTGACTTGCCCATTTTTTTTTTTTAAAAACGCCATTTCAGTATTGTCTTAAATACTTCTTTTAAATATGGAAAACATGATTGCTTTGAGTTTGATTCACACTCAAGTCTGTTTACTTATTTTTTCACAATTTTTTTTTCAATAATCTACATATATTGAAATTGAATCTGCAATTAGCTTGAAATTTTGATTTTTCTTGTTTTTGTGGTGATTATACTTAACTTTTCTTTATTTAAGATATGGTTTTAACCAAATTCTAACCGAAAGTTTATACGAATTCAGTTTGAAACGATTAAAGTTGCTCACTGGATTACTTATAAAATACAAATATTTGCATTGGTAATTGATAATAGTGAGTCGTAAAATCTAACTTTGTTTAAACATTTAATAAATTAAAGTGTATACATGCGAAATAAGTGAACAAATCTGATCTAACCAACAAGAAATATTACTTTTTATTGAATAAATTTTTTTTTGTAAATAAATACATTAATTATTTATTAAATGTAGGAGAATCACAATTAGACTTAAAAAGTGTCCGTAAAAAAAATGCCACATATAATATATAATTTAATTTTTAGTTCGAATTGTACTATTCAAACGATAGTTATTTTGGATAAGTTTTCTTAAAACTATTTGTAGAGCTGCTGTCCTTCATTCCCTTGATGGTATATCTAAAAAATAATAAAAACGATAACAACATTTTTATTTTATGAATCATTAAAAAATTAATGCGAGTTACTCATTACCTTTTTTTGCTAATGATTTATTTTTATTCTTTAAAAGAAAGTATTGATTGCAGCCATATGATCTTTCTTTATCTTTAAGGTTCCAGTAGAAGTGCAAACAGTCCAAGTGATTTTCTTGCTTTAAACGATTTGGCGATCATAATAGAATCGACACATTCATATGCTTCTGTATTTGTTAATGTGCAACAGTGTTCATGTACTATAACTTATAAAAAGCCCTCGAATTGTTTAAAAGCTTTCCATCCATATATATAAAGTTCATCAAGTTCACTCAGTCTTAAAGTACAACTCGGCGGGTGAGTATCGCGAAAAGCTTGCCGCTAAATATTTGAGGTCATCTGGAACACATTACCTTTTCCTTGGCCAATACCTGTGTATATTTTTATCTACATCTGTACTCATGTGTACCCACGGCATATATGCGATAGTTAATCTGTATCTGTATATGGATACAAAAGTGATAGCCGAAAATTGTGAAAATTCTTTATATAACGCGAATGTTTATTCCCCCCAAAGTCTGCATGTACACAAAAATGTGTGTAGATTGAAAATGCTGTATTTGTTTGTGTTTAAAATAATCTAAATGATCTCACATTAGTGACGGCATGTGTCATAACAAAACTTCGTGCGTGATCGATTTTACCTTTTGAATTGGGGAAAGCAAAATACCTTTAGTAACTCAAACAACACGATCCCTTGCTTAACATTTAATAAAACTTAATAAATAATATACCTATAATAAATGAGCCAAAGCTCGCTGGGTTCGATCATATGATTCTGGATCACCGTTAAATACTATCGCAAGTGTCAACAGTGCCCTATCAAAATATTTATGTTATGGATTTAGATGAACCTTGTGCATGTGCACATACATATGTATGTTTCCATTCCCAACGATCGTGCTCAGCACGCACCGATCTCTGGCGCATCTTTATAGCCGTGTATCTGAAAAATGTTTCGGGGATGATCATAAAATCGACGAAGTTTCAAATACAAAATCATTCAGATTTTCCACATAACTTAAAAGAAAATAATCAGTACAGTAAAGTTTAAAATATTGAGCATACGAAACCGTTATGAACGCTTACCAATTATACAAAATTTTTCATTTGTTTACGTACCGGAATGAATTCAAAACATTTAAATTTGAAAATAGTAAAACAAATATCTAAATATAAATGATTTTTAACCGTTTTAACATAATTGTTGCTCAACAAAAGTAAATTCTCAGGAAACAATAATTGTTTCTAATTAAAATGGGAAGGCTATTTTGTTGCCAATATTTCGCTAACGTTGGATCTCACAGCTTTGTGTTATATATATGTTTCTAGCCTCGAATCAATTACTTATTTAAATAAAAAGTAATTTTTAAACCTCTAAGTGCGTTTTTCCTGTCTCAAAATCGACTTTTAGCTTATTACGAAGATGAGAAAACGGGTTAAAAGCTATTAAAACTGTATAGACAAATAAATCGTTAAAAAAGATTCAGTTTCCAATTACTTATGCATATAGTTCGTGGCTTTTAACATTTAAAGAAACTCCAAGGTAATTGTGATATAATTGAAAATTATAATTATTATTCACTGATAAGAGCACGGTAACGGATATAATAAACAAAGTTCTAGGGAAAGTTTTGTCGTATCTATTAGGTGTTGTCTTACTTCAGTGTGTTGCGATTTTGAGCTCTTATCGCATTATACTTATGAAACTGTGGCAGTGCTAATTTAATAATAATAACTTATATAACGTGTGACTTATAGATTGATTGATAAAATACTTATTCTCTTTTCGCTTAATATAACCAATTTCGAAGGCCACAAAACCCGTTTTGTAGTCAGAAACATACTGCACCCATCAATAAATACTAATGTCATCATTCTAGTGATTATATTTTCACGATCACAGAGTACAGGGGTAAACATATGTCTACACATGTGCAAATTTATAAAACAATTATAGCAAAGCTTTCCTATTCCTTTAAACATTTAATAGTGCTGACCCTTTAGTCTTTTAACCTTCATTCATATGAATATTTCTTTCAGATTCATTTAAAACGGGCTTACATACTAATAAACAATGAGTTGGAATAAGCGGAACACTAGTCAAAGATCAATTTACGACTACCCTGAACATTTAAATCCCTTCTACGAAGATGACAACCATAAACGGCTTAGATTTTTTGGATTTAGCAAAAAGAAGAACGAAAATGGCAGGCATAGTTTATCAATCGGAAACTTGCAGGAACTGTGGTGAGTTTTTCTAGCTATTTAGTTTCACATTATCCCAAAAAGAAAAGTATAAATAATTCACCTCACTCTTAATTTATCTTACTTCATCTGCCAATTTATTTAGATCATCAGCTTTTTTTCTCATTTACTTGAATACAAATGGTCTATTTATAAAATAAAACCTTTTAAACTATTTTTCAATGAATATAGATTGTATTTGTTTATTTTAGGAAATCATATTCATTTCGTAAAAAGAAGTCTTCTACACTAGGAATAAATAAAACATCAGAAAGCCCGCCGATGCTTAGACGAGATTTAAATGATAAGTAAGTAAAGTTATTTGGGTTTAGATTCAACAAAAATTACTGAGAAGAGATTTCTGTGACATCCCGTATATGTCGCATTTAAGTACAAACTTTTTTAACACCTCTGTAGTTCCTATTTAAATTCTAGAGTTTTTCGCGGTGACCGTCATACATCCCTCCAAAATATCGATGCAAGAAGAGAGGTGAGTTACTAAAATTGTTATTTTAATAGATAAAATTTGTAGTTATGTTACTATTTATAATCCTAGTCCGACACAATCTCTAATGGAATGTTCTTCAATCGTAACGATCGGTACCGCAGCACAACGCAGTTTTCTGGATATCCCTCGCCAAACCATCAGAATATGAGGTAATTTATTTTTCTATGAATGCTTAAAAACTTTAATTACTAGTTTAATTTCTTAATTTTATATTTTAGATTATCACAAACTAGTCTGGCCAGCTCAAATCCTTTCGAGTCGCAACCGGATTCATGTCCCAACTCCCCACTGAGTGCTAGAAGATATCGTAAGAAGAGGAGAGCTCCACCGCCGCCAAAACTAGTGGTAATACAAATTGCTTACCAAGGAACTATATATTATATATTGTATATTATTGTTTGATTTTCGTTTTAATCGCAGGTCCAGGATTATCTAGCTACCAAAGACATTGAGTCTCTAGCCTCTGAAATTGAAGAGTTTGTCAACAACAGATCCGAATCTTTAATAAAACCAGAAGTTGGAAAGGAAGTCCCAAAAGCAAATCAACCAAATATTTCGGTTACAGCACCGACCCCCGATATCGAACTAAGCGCCAGCAGCACATCCAAAATAAAACACACTAATAATGCAAAGCAATCCAATGAAACACGCACAGTCATTGAAAAGAATAATGTCACTATCCTCGACTCGGATTTGGATACCAAACCTAACACACGCACCTCCCCAGCACCACAGTGGATTGGCACAGTTCACTTAAAGCAGACAAACGCAGCTGAAATATCAATCACATCCAAGGAGGGTAAAAAAATCACTTCACTTAATACGGCTAGTCAACATAACTCCTGCACTTCCGAAACTCCTGAGTGCATTGCCAGCGTACACATAAAGCAATCCTCTGAACCAAAACCAAATAATGATCTTCACACTCAACCGGAGGAGACAAAAGTCAACAAAAAGCCAAATGGCACCATACATGTTGGAGCCAGAGAAGAGTCTTTAGTTATAAATGGCATTTCAAAAGAGTCCCACAATCAAAACCATAAACCAGAGATTGTAAAACAATCAGTCATTTTGGTGGAATCTGAAAGCAATACTAATCCTTGCACGTCCAAAGCTCAGACCATTGTTAATAATAATGTAGTTCTTCCACCGAATGAAAGCACCTATATAGAAGATAGAAAAACTAATTCATTTGGCACGGTCAAACAAATTTCACAGATTTTTGAAGAGAACATTAGTTCCTGTGGTCCCAACAATATTCCCAAAAAAAATACAGCAGATAGCATCATTGTCAATGGTGCTAGATCAAAGATTGAAGAAAACCATTGCGTTTCAAACGCAATTCAACCAAATCCAGCTGCAACTGGCGAAGTATTGCAAATAAGAGAAGATTTTGAGTTGGAGAATGAAGTAAGAATTGCTGAGAGGCAGATAAACGATCGCTTCAGATCTTCAATCTCAGAGGATCGCGAATCGAATTCCACACCGACCCCGCGAATGAGGAAGAAGAAGTCCATTAAGGAAGTGCTAGAGTCTATAAGCAGAAATCAAAAGATTTTAAACGAAAGTGCGGCCAAGGGCACAAAAGTGTACTTAACTCCCTCCTATGCTGAAAATAGATACAACTATCCCAATGAGCTAAATAACGTTAATAGTACAGCCCCCAAGGAAGTGACGTCTGCCAACATTTCGGTTAGCACATCGGATACCAATGAATCACCAACACAAAGGGACTTGTTTATAAGCAAAATAAGCAAGTTCAAGGGTCAAATTAGAGAGTCATCGCCAACTTCGTCGAACTTAGATTGGAACCCTTTACCGAAGCCAAGTCGGTCCCATAATTTAGCTAGTTCTAGTTACAACAACGGCTCGTGCTAAGGAGCTTAATTAATAATGCTATAAACAAATTAATATTTATATCAAACAAAAACCAAATTTTTATGCAATAAAACAAACGTACTTATAACCAATGAAGTGGTTTTAGTTGCAAGATTGCCGATGAAAATACATTAGAAGGGTTGTTATCTATGGTCACCACATCACCGGTGGGCAGATTTCTACAGTTTTATAGAATTTATTATCTTTAAAGTAACAATTGTTCATCTAGTGTTAGTAAAGTTTTTTGAAAAATAATTTTGGACATACATTTTCCTACTTGCAGACATTACATTATTACTCAATACCTTTTCTTACTAATGTGATTTCATTTTAAGTCGTTCAGATGAGTGTCCGTTGAGTTGTCCCACGGGATCCTCTTTTGTTAGCTTCGATACTTCATCGTAAAATCGGGGAAAGTATTGTATGGCGAGGAATACAGCTAATAGATAAACGCCAATAACAATAGTAAGGAAGAGATCGAAGATCGCCGGCTTAACTCTGTAGACATTCAATTTCACTTCGTTCTCATTGTAGAACATAAAGTCTGGATCTCTGCCGTCGGGCTTATCGTAAATGATTTTCACGTTGTTAAGGTATTTTTCGAAAGCATCCTTAACATCGTTATTATGCAATATGGATTTAACTCCAAAGTATGGCAATAAGTTTTCTTCTTTAATCGCCTAAAAAATCAAAAATGGTATGAAATAATCGTCTAAGAGAGTCCAATACTCAATTAACTTACCAATTGTCCATCAAAAATGCTGGAAATGGGATCCACTTTGTACATGAAACTTGCTAGAGCTTCCGCAATAATTCTGGACGTGTTGAGGGTGTGCTCCACAATACGACTCTCGTCGCCTTTGAAAATGGTTGTCCGAATGGGACTTCTAGGACTTTTCACTGAAGACAGAGTAAAGGAAGGATAGCGTTTTATGCTGAACCGCTCATGCTCCCATGCAAGTTTGGTGTCCGCTAGATTTATTTTTTTGTGCACACCCTCGACCGTTAAGCCATTCGAATACTTTTCAGCTGATGATTTCAGAAGTTTGAAGAAGTTGCTGATCGAAGTCTTCTCTTTCGGTGGCTTAGAGACATGCATATACAAAGCATTGTCTTCGTTATAAGATAAACTCTCCGTGATGGTATCCAAGCAAAGCACAAACTCAACATTCTAGGATATAGTTTGAAATATAAATAAATATTCTTGTTCCATTCTTTTCATCGCTTATTCTTACCTGTAGCGCGTTGTCATCTACTTCAAGCCACTTCTTTGACCCTTGAAAGTTTAGTAGGACGCCAGCGTCCGAGAGCAAAAATCGGAGACGGTATTTGGGTGCCATACTGGAGGTGTAGTGCAACTTGCTGAACAGTTCTATGAGCACCAACAAAACGGCTGCATCTGCATTAACCGGGTAATCCTAAAAAGTTGATAAAGGAAAACATTAATACATTTCGTAAAACATAGTTGCTTTTTGTTACGATTTGTATTTACTATAGACAACCACTTTGGACCCAGTAAATCTTTTTTTTTTAGGTTTATGAAATAACCTTGAAAAACCAAAGTTAGATCAAGACCGTAATCTTTCAGATAAAGAGTTCTTATCTTTAAAGATCAGATGTATTATCTTGAAATTTGTTAAACTGTTACCGCCACGTGTAGTCTGTAATTATTTTGTTTTCATTGGCTATCTGAAATATTTGAACTCTAATCGAAAGAAAGAACTTACAGCGATATAACTTTAAAGTTACAGTTTAAAGTCGGGTGTTACGTTAATTTTTAACTTGCATTAAAATTTCCTCAATGAAGCCAAGTAAAATGACTTACATTATAAATTCCAAAGGTTTTTAGATTCGCGGTTATCAAAATGACGGGAAGTTTATGTCCATCACCCACAGATTCTGTGGGTTTCAGGGCCAACTGATTTGGTATCAGCTCGCCGTGGATAATGGGAACTTTGCTGTTCTTGTTGGCCACAATACTTCCTCCACCGACGTTTACGTGGTATCTGTTGGCTGAGACCGTCACAATCAATTGCCCCAGCGCTGTTTGATTTTGAGCCACTTTATCCGTTGTCGTGTAGGTAATGTCATCGATGATCTTTTCCAAATCCTTATTGTACGGGGCAAAGTAAATGGGCACTGCAGCCGTATGTGTTAGCATTGATTGCTCCAAAATTGTGATCAGTTCTTTGGTTTCTGTGTCCAGATTCAAAATGTTCGACGGCAACATGAGTATTATTCCTCCGGCACTTTGCCTTAACTTGTCAAAATCATGGATAGACAAGTCGGTTAACCTATTTAAAGACATTTCAATGAAAATATATATTAATTTTAATGCGGGGCAGTGAAAAATATGTACTTACCGTGTAAGAACACAGTGCCTAGAAGTATTCCATGAATACAAAGATCTCGCTTCTAGAGATATTGCAGATACTCGGCTTCCTAAAGGTGTCAAGTAAACAATATTTTAAAAATATAAATTATTAACTTTTATAGAATATTTTGTAGTCTTTTCCATCTGTAGTTTAGGGATGAACTCAAAGAAAAACCGGATATGAATTATAATTTCGAGGCAGTCAAAAGGCTATTTACTAATTTGCATTATTTCGAGTGCAACAACTTGTATAATACTTTTTAATTAAGAACCAAACAGACATATACATACATGACTCTAATTCAGAAAATAAAAACAGAACACGTTTGCTTGAGATACAATGTTACTAATTAAATAAAGGTGAAAAGTATCCGTCAACGTTAAAATTATTTAGGTCAGAAAAAAACAATGTTGTAAATGTGAATTATGCTTGTGTACAAAAGTCCAACCCCTGCTCTACAATAAACTTACATCATTAATATTTATTGTATCCAATATTTACTTACCAAAATGTTGCCCATTAAGATCGTATTTGGACATGGAAATAACCTCGAATTCGCTTGGCATTACCGGTGAACATATTAACAACATAGAAAAAACAATGAGAAGACAGTGAGGTAAGCCGCCTCTAAATATTTCAGCAAAACTATCCGCTTCATTCATCTTTTATCTTTTTATTAGTATTATTCACAAAAATCTGCCGATGTGGGCAATTAACTAATTATAAAAATGAATTCGGAAAACTGTCAGCTGTTTTATCGATGGGGTGAGGTGGTTGCAAAATGTGGACAATCGGACAATCGGATATTTACGTTTTGGTAGGAATGGTTGAATCGAGACAAATATTAAATGAAACACTACAAACTTTTTGAACACTCTAATTTGTTAGATTTATTATAAGCAGTATTTAACCATGAATGATAAAAAAGAAATTTAATGATGGATTTGGCTTATTGTTAAAATTCTCTCTAACAAATTTTTAAACATATTTTCCAGAAAATGTTAGCATAAAATAAACAGATTGGCTTTATATGACAAAACTGAGAGTGTTACTTTTTGACTAGTTCTTGTGGTTCGTTTTATGGTATTACTCGACATTTTACAAAATTTTGAATGTTTTGATCAAATTCAAAGAATTTATAATTAAATATAATGTTAAATTTAAACTTTATCACCAAAAAATATATGAACATGAATTTCGAATTATTTTATTTAAAAATCGAATAATTTTTTAATGACAACACCTTAGTTTCTTAGTATTTAGAAAAAATATATTATATGTATATTGGTTTTCGATTGTCTTCAAATAAATTGCATTTCGCTGCACCCCATTTCCAGTGTTTCAAACTTGAAAATATTTTCTGCAGGTAATTTTGGTGAGCCAGTAACAATGCACAAATATATCGGTTTTTTGCGCATCTCTAGTTCGGCTAGTATGACTTTGAATTTTACAGATAGAAGCACTTTTATTAACGAATAATTTAGTCATGCCCGCATTTAAAGGTACCATTGTGTTTTATGGCTGCTGTTGCACAAAACCTAACAAAGTTGCTTTCAGTTAAGGTAAAGTGGGGCCGGGAGCTCTACACAGACATTGATGTAAACACCGATGAGGAGCCGATATTGTTTAAAGCCCAGTTGTTTGCGCTTACTGGCGTTCAACCGGAACGCCAGAAAGTTATGTGCAAGGGTGGCATCCTGAAGGATGATCAGTGGAACTTGCAAATCAAAGACGTAAGTGGCCATCTACACATTTTGGCTAATTTAGTCCTAACCGAAAACTACGTTTTTCAGGGAGCTGTGGTGTTGTTGCTGGGCAGCAAGGAGAGTGTCCCAGAAGTGCCTGCTACACCGGTCAAGTTTATAGAGGACATGAACGAAGCGGAGGCAGCTACAGCGGTAGGTATCCTGGCTGATTTGGGATGCACCTTAATGCTTTGTAATGCTGAAACTACAATTTACTATTTGGCTTTGTAAGGAATCTTCAATTTTGAATATTTTCGGTTTGTAAACAAAAGAACATTGCTCCAAAGGCGGGTTTACTGAAAACATTCTTGGGTTTTTAGCAGGCTCAAGGTCTGGTATGTGCCTTTTTAAAATAGAAACTTAGTTCGTGTTTATACCAAATGTGCTGAGTCATTTACTTAAGGTCAGGCGCTCAAACTACATATTTACAAAATTGTCTATGTATAAACTTACATTTGTATGTTGAAATTAAGATAGTTCAATTATAATTTGCATATACATTCCTTGACAAATGATCTTAATATATGTTACCTTATTTAAAACAAAATGACAGCGCAGAAGGGAATTATTATCTAAGCTTAGTTATGTCTCTTCAATCTTGCATGTAATCTAATATGTGGTATAATTATTTTCAGATGCGTTTGCCAGCCGGGCTCACAAACCTGGGCAACACGTGCTACATGAACGCCACTGTTCAGTGTTTGAATGCAGTGCCTGAACTTCGCACTGCCTTGAGCACTTTCAGTAACGATGGAACTGATACCATGTCGACTGCATTTTCCATATCGTCCGCCATGAAGTCCATATTTGCTCAAATGGAGAAGGGCACAACGGTGACGCCAATCGTTCTGCTGCAGGCACTGCATCGTGCGTCTCCGCAGTTCGCCCAGACCGGCGAGAACGGCACCTATAGGCAGCAGGACGCTAACGAGTGCTGGGCGGAAATCCTTAAAATGTTGCAGCAAAAAATTCGGCCAACCAACCAGGATCCATCGAATACTAACCAGAAAAAATACAGGTAAGTCAATTTGAATTTGTTCGTTTCTTAATGTTCGATTAACGTATCTAATTTCTTTGAAGCTCGTTTATTGACCAATTTTTCGGTGGAACTTTTGAAGTTAAGATGAGCTCGGAAGAGGTTCCCGATGAACCATCTACCGTAACGTCTGAGAATTTCTTGCAGTTGAGTTGCTTTATTTCAATGGATGTCAAGTACATGCAAAGCGGACTAAAATCCGTAAGTAAAAAAAAAAAACAAAAACAAAACATAACACACATTAATTTAAATGTGTTTTCAGAAAATGAGAGAGCAATTGGTGAAAAAATCGGAAACTCTAGGACGCGATGCAAAGTACATTCGAACTGTAAGCCCTGCAAACTTATTTATATGAACCAAAACTAACATGTTCCCGTTTCAGTACTTGGTGAGCCGACTTCCAGCCTATCTCACCGTTCAATTTGTTCGTTTTCAATACAAAGGAAAGGAGGGAATTAACGCCAAGGTGTTAAAGGATATTAAGTTCCCCATTGAGTTCGATGCCTTTGAGTTGTGTACTCCCGAACTGCAAAACAAGTTGTGCCCCATGCGCTCGAAATTCAAGGATCTGGAAGACAAGAAGATGGAAGTTGACGTTGTCAAGTCCAATGAACCAAAAGAGGAGAACAAGGACATTAAGTATGAGCAGTTTTGGTTCGACGATGACTTGGGTAGCAACAATTCGGGCTTCTACACATTGCAAGCCGTGCTCACGCACAAAGGCCGATCGAGTTCCTCGGGACATTATGTTGCTTGGGTACGTTCCAGCGGTGACGTGTGGTTCAAATTCGACGACGATGAGGTCTCGGCTGTGGCCACAGACGAGATCTTGCGGCTGTCCGGAGGTGGAGACTGGCATTGCGCATACGTCCTTTTATATGCACCCAGACGTTTGGAAAAACTATAAATAATTGTGTTAACGTCATTACATTTGTATTGTTAATATAATAATTCTGAATAAATAACCAAAACCTTAAGAACTTCATGGACATTGTTATTCTTGGAAAAGAATAGAGTAGAGAAGCATAAATATTTTGATTTGAATCAACAAAATTAAATGGTGAAAGTTTTAAACTAGAAAACAAAAACCAATACCATAATCATACAAGCTATTTAAAATAAATACCATATTACACATTAGATAAAATAAATCAACCGAATTTAAATATATTTTCCTTGCTTTTCTTAGATTAATAAAATTAATGAATTAAAATATATAAGATGCTAAAAATATAGTAAAAGACTATACAAATTCTAAAACTACTAAGATTTTGTTTTCCAAGCATTTGATTATAATACAAAAAAAACTAAGTACGAACACCATAGATAAATAAAAATAACCAATTTAAAATATATTTTCGTAGCTTTTCTCAGATTAATAAAAATATGTTTGTATAATTCAAAACATTTAAAATGGGCACATTCCATTGGTTCAAATAAAGACCAAGTTTCGACGTTAACTTGACACGGTTAACATGAGTTTACCCATTACAAAACGGTCTTATCAATTCTATTAAATTACTTGTAAATTTCTGTTTATAAATATGGATAATGTTCCGGTAGCTACAGATGAAAATCCTACACAGCAATCCATTGCTTTGAGGCGGGAATTACGCCGAAAGAAAATATTGGAAGCCTCTAAGTCACGACTCGACAAATTGAATGGCAGAGCTACAACGCTACACAACGAAAACCTCGGTAACACATAATAATTTATACATATGTAGATATGTACATTGAACATTGCCCATAAGTAATTGAGTCCAAAAGTATTGCGATTGCGATAAACTCCGTAAAAAATGCATTTAATTCAATCATATTAAATGTGAAGCAATTGTTTTCTATCAAAAAATGACATGTAGATATGTATGTATGTAGATTAGGGTGGTCCAAAACAAACCTCACTTTTGCCGTTTTAATATTTAAGATTTACTATTTACTTAAAAATTTTATCACCGAAGCTTAAACCCTAAACAGAAATTTTCCTACAAAATTTTTTTAGGTACGCCTTAAATGCACTTAAGCGCTTAGTATAAGCGGAAAAAAAAGGCTTTCCAATAATAATAATTTTCTTTAAAAAATTTGGACCATCCTATTGCACTTTTTTTTATATAGATACATCTGTATATATCAATTATTAATATCCTAATATCAAATAATTATAATATTTCAGACGATGGACCAGCTAATCCCCAATATTCTGATCCTGAGGTTGAACCTGATGTTCCAATAAACCGTCCATTTTTTCCGGAACATCCTGTATCCCAAAAAACCAGTGCTCCCAATGCATTTGTGAAGAGCAGAGTTCACATTGTTTTGGCCGCTTGCGTCGGATTTTGGTTAGCGCTTTACACAAATAGCAGCGTTTTCTTGCCTGTCCTGCTTTTTGTTATCTTGGAACTTGCATTCTTGCAATATCATAAAAGAGACAATTTACCGCCCAGTGTGGGACCCATGTTGCTTATGTTTATAAATCCAAGCGTTACCAACAAAATTAAGCAGTTCAGCAGTATATTCTTGATCCTTCAGTCACTTTTGGGCGATCTTGCGATAACTGTCTGTGTTGTTTGCTCAGGCAGCATGTTATTATTAAATTTAAATTCGGACATTGTTACTGTAGTGAAATAAAGAACATATTTGGGAAGTTTGTGTTTTATTAGGGGTTGTGGAAATGTAATTTATAATTATTAAGGGTTGGGGTATTTCTAATAGCATTTGCAAGCTACTAAGATCTTGGCTATTTAATTGATTTGTTAAGTAAAAAACATTTCTAAATCAGAAGACGAGTGTGAAGAATGCAAAACAACTTCAGCAATGGCAACGGTTTAATTTTTGATTTGATTTTTTTTATAAGCAACATCACTATTTTTTTAAGTGTAAATAAAAGCATTAAATCCATTTTGCTACATTTTATTTGCCAAATGCAACTTACAATTTTCTATAAATTTCCTTGCCATCAACAAACATTTGGTTAATTTCCCCTAAAGTCAAAAGTTTTTTAACAACAAGTTAAAATAAAATAATATTAGAAATTCTTGAAAAGATTTTTGTATTGAAGCTAGGAACTTTGAATATTCAAATAAAGAAACCAAAAACACCTTTACTGAGCATGCCCAGAAATGCGAAAAAGGAAAAGTGCCCACCCTCGCTTTTGGGCCTGCGCATACTTTGTATCGATTTTAAGACTGTGTACTTATTTCATAAGCTTGTAGCGAAAAGATGTTTTCATAAACAAGTGCAACGTTGAAATTGGTGCTAAAAAAATATATGATTAGTGGTAACGGCGTCCATAGATAAGTACAATTATGCAGCCGTTCAAAATGGCATAACATCGCGCTTCTGCAGTGAGATATATACGCGTTCTAAAGCAGTCTTGGCAATTTTTTCCCCCAAGTAATTTCAATCGAATAAGGTAAAAACTAGCTTAGAGCATTTGTAAAATTCCTTCGTAATATTATATTTGTGCAAAATGAATTCTTGGTTTGTTGTTTATTTTCACCTTTCTGCTTTTGCATGAGGTACTTATGTAGATTGAAAATCAATATTTTAAAATAACCTTACCAACGAAGAAGAAGGAGGAGGAGGAGGAGGAGGAGGGCGTTCGAGGGTCTTATTGATTAAAACCATTATTTCAGCCATCATGGGAACGGTGTTGAGTTTCAATCCACGGGATCGGCATCCCATATACTCGTCTCAGCCAAATTTCCAATATAACCACTCGACCGATATACGAAACGAGAACGACAGTACAGGCTCAATTGACTCGCATCTGAATAACTTCTCGTACGAGCAGCTAAATAACGCCAAGAACAGGGAGAACAAGAAGTCGGCCTGCCATCAGTTGGCCAAGAACGTCATTGGACAGCAGGGTTCATGTGGCGGAGTGCACATCAATCTACAGACACAAACGCAGCTGAGTTCGCACAATTTAAACAATTTGGCGAATGCCTCGAAGGACACGATCACCAATGTCCTGGACACGCATAACGAGAACTCGGTGCTCAAGGCGGAGAAGAGCTCGTTCGAGAAGAACTTGAAGAAACACTCGATCTTCATCAATGCCCTCTCGTGGAAGAAGCTATCCACGTCCCACAACAAGAAGAAGATCGAGAACAAGAACAAGTGCGCCAATCTGCCCACGGCCTGCTTTAAGGCCCAGCTCCTGGAGTCCTCGTTTGCCTCCTCGTCGGACAAGAATCGAAACATTCAGCTGCACTGCAACCGCATCGAGGAGCACAACCAGCAGCACTGCAATCAGAATCAGAACCAAAACCAGAATCAGAATCAGAACCAGAATCAGAACCAGGCCCAGGATATCCGGGAGGAGGTCCTAACCGGACCAACCGGCAAATCGCAGAATCCTTCCAAGGCGAAAGACCCCGTGAGGGTGAACAACAAGAGCTCGATTTCGAACCACAACAAGCTCATCCAGAAACAGCCCCTGACGCTCAGTCTGCCACAGCAAGTCCAAGCGTCGTCCATTCAGATCAAAAATACCAACCAGATCCCTCGCAAAACCGTCATTCAGGTTAGTTGTCCAGCAGGACTAATCATGTTCAATTTTTTAAAAAGAAACCTTCGTAACTACTCGATTCAAAAATCCTTTTGAAAAGAGTTGCCGTTGAATTGTTTGTCAAATTTTATTTTAATTATTATTTATTTATTAATCGTATCTTTATTACATTAGGGTGGTTTTTTATAAAGAATTATACTCTCACCATTTTAAATAGTAGATATTGGTGCAAAGAAAATTGGAATAAAATCCAAACAATTGTAAAATAAAGTCTAAAATAAATAATGCGACCCGAATCGCAGTATGAGTTTTTGGTAAGCAAATCTCCCATTTCTATGCCTTTCAATTATTTGATCTCGATCACAAAAGTGAAAAAAAAATTAGAAAAAGTTGAAGTTTTGAAGAATAAAAATCCTTGCCATTAAAGAAAACTGACAGGACGGTTTTTTTTAGCTTGGTTTTATAGGAAACTTATTCTAAAAAGGCTCAAGATGGAGGTTATCGTATGGAAAAGCAAGGAAATTCAAGTACATTAAGGAGCAAGTTTAACGGCTACATAAAGAATATGTTAATATTAAAAATAAAATATTATTCGTACAAGCACAAGCGCTGACCTTCCCATCTTTGAAAATTTCAAGAAAGCTGTCGCGAATCTTTAAAATTATGGTATTCACTTTTCAAGATGCTAGAAGCACATTAATAAAATCGCCCACTTTTCAACGGTCTTCTTATAGCGTTTTTTTCTCTAGTAGTTTTTTGCAAAAGTTTTTAAGTTGATATTTTTTAATATATAGTTCCTTAATTTCCCAGAAAAGTTCGTTTAAATCCAGAAAAGCCGTATAAGCAAAAAGTTTATTTTCTCCCAACTCAAAAGGAAGATTTAACTAATATTTTTATGAATTTTTTATTTAAAATTTTCTCAGTACTTAATGTTCTCTTTAATTATTCAAATAAAATAAATAAAAAAGGAATTTACAATACAATTTTAAGTATACTTTCATAATATTTCTTGTATTAATAACCACAACATCATTTAATAAATTAGACTTAAATTTAGTTAAAACAATTTTTTGTGATTTAAATTCACAAATAGTAATACAAATAAATTGTGTTTATTCAACTGAGAAAAAAACGTTTCATAATCCACAGGCATCCACATCCGAATTGCTTAAGTGCTTGGGAATGTTTTTGCACTGTCGTTGTCAAAGACTAAACAACTTCGATGCTGGCGATGCTGTTATGTGGCTCAGAGCAGTTGATCGCAGTCTTTTGCTCCAAGGATGGCAGGTAATTGAATCAATTTATTTGCTAAAATCATTAAAATTCCATTTCCTTCCAATGAGCTGACAAACGTTTTTTTCATTTCCCAGGATGTAGCCTTTATAAACCCAGCAAATGTGGTGTTTGTCTATATGCTGGTCCGCGAACTTGTTAGTGGAGAAGAAAGCAAGGAATCAGATCTTCAGGCCTCAGTTCTCACCTGTTTGTATCTGTCGTACTCATACATGGGCAATGAAATCAGTTATCCCCTCAAACCATTTTTGGTTGAAGACTCAAAGGAAAAGTTTTGGGACAGGTAAGATACAATTATTAATTTCTTATTAATAACCAGAAAACACAAAATAATTTAATTGTCTATTAGACAACTATATTTTGATTGTTATGCGTATATGTTTAAAAACTAAAATTATAACGATTTTTCAATACACTTTTTCGGTATTTCCAAATGATACAGTTTTAAAATTTGTATAACTTTTTAGCACAGATAATTTCTTTTAATATTGAGCTAATGGAAAGATGTAAAATAGATGTTAATTTAACCTAACCCTGATTAACTGAAATATTTTGTATTTTGGAACATTGCAAAAATCCGTTAAATCAACTACCGACTAAATTATGATAAGCTCTCTCACGTATAATATTAATTCTCAATTGCTTCATATTTAATTTCAGGTGTCTTGTCATTGTAAACAAGCTAAGTGATAAAATGCTTAAAATCAATGCTGAGCCTGGATTTTTTACGGAAGTCTTTACTGAGCTGAAATCTTGTGGTCAATATCATCCTACAATTAAATCTTACTGCGGAGGCGCCTGACGGATGGACGACCGGGAGATTATTGTCAACCTCTCATTGTCTGCGCATCGCCAGAAATTTCCCGATGAAATGATGGCGAAGTACCGTTAATAAAACTTAATATTTTATAAAACATTAGACAATTTCATTATGTCACTATCACAATCGTTCAAATCAAATAATAAAGATTAGTGTTTAAATAAATTAACAACTACGATATGTGTAAAAGGTGCGTTTCTCTGTTGTCTAGGGTTAATTCTTATGATGATTATCTTAAGCCCGTTGGATCCCATAAAGGTGCTTAAAGGCATTAATATAAATCCAAACGTAATATTATATATGCAAATAAATGGTAATTTATTTTACATCTTACTTGTATATACATAAACATTATTATTAAGAGCAATTTAATTTGGGTACAGTATATCGTAGTGACCTGGTCTGTATATGAGGTAAATTCGGGGCTCTGTTCCCTCGGGGAAGTCGTGAGCCTTGACAGTGCCTCCCTCACCACGGTCCAAGTATTCAACGCGGACTCCCGCGCCGAGGGCAGTGCACAAGGCGATTATGTGGATATGATCCGATTCCTTGTACATGGGTTCCACTTCTTGGTGTCGGAACTCTTCAATGGTGAAGTCGCCCTCTATAAAGTTTTGGTAAAAGTCAGCCTCCTCCTGAAGTTTTCCCGACGTAATCAGACGTAGGTAAACCACCACGTAGTCCGAGTAGCCCTGCTCATTGAAGATTTTGTGTAGTTCGCTCTGGACCTTGCTCTGTCCACCAGGATTGTCGGGACTAACGCGCTTAATGACTTCCATAAACTAAACATATTAGAAAATCATTAGGAATTCGGGTAGTTCAAGAGGGTGTACCTACAGTCTCATGGAAGTCCTCTAATGTGAAACTAGGAAAACCCAGCTGGACGAGCTTATCCTTGGACTCCTCGGCCAGTTTTCGGAACTCCTGGTACGCACTACTGTTTGAGATCAAATACTCCAAGTACGAATATGCAAAGGCTCTGAAGAAACAGTTTCCATCGGGGCGGGTGCGGCGAATGAACTTGTACTTGGTGGACAGATCCTGGATCTTGGCTGTGAATATGTCGTCGCCATTGTATTCGGCCCACAAACAAGTTAGCGGCAACTGCTCGCTCACCAAGGGAGTAGTATCGCTGATCTAAAGTTTGCCGAATTCAGCATTAGTAAACTTTACATTATTACATTTCGTGCTGCACTGCACTTACCTCCTTCTCAATCTCCCTTTGCTGCTGAATAATTAACTCATCACGATTGCCGTCATTTTGCTTAAATGACTCCATGATTTTTTAAATACTGAATATTTAGGATCGGCGTCTCGTTCGGAGTTACTTATGTGTGTACATATGATGAATAGAATAAGAATTTCTGTTCATCATTTGTATATGTAAACGCATCAAATATTACGCACACACAGTTAGAAGCGAAAACCGTAGACACATTGATGCTTTCGATTGCTGCGTTATCGAATTGGTGTTTCAATTCCATTCATTCATTTGAATACATCGAAAAGAATAAATATTTTAAAAAGTCTAGACTCAATCAAGAGAAAAAGAATTCCCGCTTAATTTTTAAACAGTATTTAATTTTAATGAACGTTGTTCACTAAATCGATTTTATTCAGCTGGTACGTATTATATCAAATTTGTATGGAACAGCTGACGAGCAGCTGACCGAATTTCAGTATATTTCTGCTGAATTTGCAGCAATTCAGACGTTTCGGGAATACCCAAATTTTGTTTAATTTTCAGTAGTAATGATCCGATATAGATGAGTAATTTAAAATCCAGCTACTAGCACAGCTGGTTTATGCAAAATGGTAAATGACAGGCAAAATTATTCTGACGGACAATAACGATTGCCTACCTTGAAATTATAACAAAGATTAGGTGTTCGTAATCTTAGCTTACTCAATTGGAAAGTCAAGGCAGAGTTGTGAGCACAGTAATAGTCCTCACCTCAATCAAAAAACTCTATAGCAAATTTAGAAATTACATTTTATTTCTTATCTTGATTTTATGTGTATTTTTTTTTATGTTGATTTAATTTAATCGAAACCTTACAAAATATTTAATTTTAAACATTTCGAATAGATTTTCAGTAATATAATTTCATATAAATGTTTTTCTGTGTGTAAGACGAAGCTGAGAACTTCATTTTGAACCAGCTTAAAAGCTTCTCATCGTCTCGTCGGAATCAAAGATCTCTAGCTCAAACTTAAGATTGAATCAGAAATCAAATCAGTGTAGTGTATTCTTCATTGCTTTCCGAACCTTCCGCTACCTTATCAGAATAAAAAAGATTAATTGATGAGGTACGTATTACAACAAATAAATACCATTAATTAGAAAAATGATATAGAAAAATGTGTTTTTTTTTGTTCATTTTATTTATTTATATTTTTTAAATTTATTTATTATGCTCTGCATCATGTGCAATAAATGTACATATATTTATGTGTGTATGTGCATACTTAAAAAAAACATGTATATTTTTAAACTTAATCTGTCAGATGTTAAAGTTCAATAAATAAAGTGAAGTGAAATATCTCGGTTTTACGTATGTACTTTTATTAGCACAAATCAGTGTTATGTACATGTATACAAAATGTGCCATTTTTACTCGAAACTAAAACCAGTTATCTGTCAATATATTCGCAAAAAAACCTATTGTTAACAACAAAAGTCATGGTAATGATTGTTCGGTCGTGCATCTTTTGTATGTGATTAAAAGTTTGTTTGTAAGGTTATGTGTGCAAGTGTATTATATATGAAAGTTTATTATTGAATTCTATATTTTTATTCCAAGTCAGCATTTTATAAAATGTCCCTTGAAAAATATGTATAATTACATACATCTGTAAGAGATATTTTTTCCTGATTGCATAACGTTTGTGTATCCTCCCTTATCTGTGTTTTCAAATAGATTACTCCAAATTAGAACGGTTTATTGACATTCAAAATTGACCCAACCTATATTTCTTATCGCCTGAACCTATTTGATTACTTGAATTAAATTATTAGACACGATTTGCCAGCTGTATGTTTTCTTTTAATATATATTTGAAAAACAAATGTATATTTGTCAATGCTCTAAATTTTTTTTGTGAACAGATGATAACATAATTTAATATTGAATTTCGGAGAAGAAAGCAAATCGAAGCAGATGAGATATAAAAATATTTCGTTTATGGGGAGAAATCATTAATGGGGTGAAGCTTAAGTTCCGTTTCTGTATTGTCCAATAAAATGTGTCATTCGGTTCGGGGGATTTCCATAAAGCTGGTCAAGTGCGATATTGCAGCAACAACATTCGTGTTGTATCACCAATGCCTAAGCTTTCATTGCCATGTTGACCGGGTCCTAAGTTTTCTTTGTTAAAATTTCCTTTTTTGACTGTAATTTAATTATTTGGAATTTTTTAATTTTCAGTAACATGATATTAATCAATTGCCTTATAATATGCGCCTGTATATTCACTTGTGGAGCGCAGGATACTTCGTTGGACAACTTGATTGCCGACATCTTTAAGACCGATGAAACCCCTGCATCCAGCACTCAAGCACCAATAACAGGCAGTTCTGTTGCTCCAGTTGTCAACCCAAAAGACTCGTCTTCAGGTAACTCAGGATCCGGATCAGGATCAGCCCAATATGAGTCCTGCGGCGATCAAAAAGAGTGCGTACCCCGTTGGCTGTGTGTAAATGATACGATAAACACCAGCGGCGAAAGTATAATTGATATTCGAATTGATACGGGATCACAATGCAAAAGCTATTTAGATCTGTGCTGTGATCTTCCAAATAAGGTATACTTAAAAAAAGTGTAGTTTCTTGAGCTAAAACTAAACCATTTTCATTATAAAGAGACACGATCCGATATTCCCAATAAACGAAAATCCGGAAGGCTGCGGCTACTCGAATCCCAACGGCGTGGGATTTAAAATTACCGGAGCTACGAACCAGGAGTCCGAGTTTGGGGAATTCCCTTGGATGCTAGCAATTCTTCGCGAAGATGGTCCACTTAACTTGTACGAATGTGGAGGAGCCTTGATTGCTCCCAATGTGGTTTTAACTGCTGCCCATTGTGTTCATAACAAACAGCCCAGTTCCATAGTTGGTAAGTAAATATCATCTATAAGAGAGCTCATCTTAACCTGCTGATTTCAGTGAGAGCCGGCGAATGGGATACTCAAACAAAGACTGAAATCATTCCACACGAGGACCGATATGTCAAGGAAATAGTCTATCATGAACAGTTTAACAAAGGAGCACTTTATAACGATGTGGCAGTTATGTTATTGGAAAGCCCATTTACTCCCCAGATGAACATTCAACCTGTTTGCCTGCCCAACTTTGGTGATAACTTCGATTTTGATCGTTGTTTTGCAACCGGTTGGGGCAAGAACAAGTTCGGCAAAGATGGAGAATACCAAGTTATCCTGAAAAAGGTTGATATGCCCGTGGTGCCGGAGCAAAAGTGCCAGACGAACTTACGCGAAACACGCCTCGGAAGACACTTCATTTTGCACGACAGCTTCATTTGCGCTGGCGGAGAAAAGGACAAGGATACCTGCAAGGGCGATGGCGGATCTCCTTTAGTGTGTCCCATCAAGGGCCAAAAGGGCCGATTCAAGTCAGCTGGTATAGTTGCCTGGGGAATCGGATGTGGAGAAGAAAACATCCCTGGAGTGTACGCCAGCGTTGCCAAACTTCGTCCATGGATCGACTCAAAACTGAAAATATGGAACATTGATCCCAAACATTATACACCCTAAGAACAAGTAATAATGAAAACGAATAAAGCAAAGTAGGCCTTAGCTCTACTTTTTTATTAATTCCGAAAAATATAAATAATATTATATCTTCTTTGAGTGTTTACATATGAGTCTTTACGCATTTGTTTAAATGGCAAATTATGAAAACGGGAAGATCAAAAACTTATTTCCAAATAAATACAAATTTTTATGTTTTGAGATTAAATAAATAAAATGAAAGGCAAAGTTACTTTTTTTTCTTGGAAAATAAAAAAAATTACGAATAAACGGTTTAGATTATTGAATTCCTTTGTTATTGAAGAATAAAAACCAATTTTCAAAATTCCAAATAGCGGTTTCTGGCCGCCTCTTCTTAATAAGCGTTGCATTACTCTCCGAAATTTCGTTAACAACAACATACATCGTGAAAGAAAATTCATTAAATAATGAAAATTTAAAGTATAATGTTCTATTTTTTGTTATTTTTTTTAACCACGTTGAAAAAATTTGTATAACTGAAAAATTATACACTTTAAAAAATTGCTATGTTAATACAATAGAAAATAGGAGATGCGTGACAGCTAGATTAAAAATAATGGTTTCAAGTAAAAACGCACTTTAAGTTTTTAGAAGTTTTGTATGATTGCCATTCAGAAATTATTTAATTTATTTCATATATTTTTTGCAAAACAAGCTTGATTAAAAAATTATAGTTTCGTATAGGGTATTGATCACGCCCTACGCTTCATATATACATAATATAAAAATATATTTGACTTTCATTTTTTGCAAAAAATAAAACATTTTTCGATCGGAATTTATGGAACGGTCACCCTAATTGTACGAACAGTGGAAAAGGAATAATTTACTACACAGTTGAACACCCTCTATATTTTGTATACTTTTTTATGGTATATTTTTGGTTATCACATCACGGTCACACTGACAACTATTGCATGGGACGAATAAGAAAAATTTAGATTTGTTAAAACCTTTTTGCTTCAATAGAATTTCTGCAAAAACATGGATAATTTCGGGTTCGGAGGAGTCGAGCTTAGCAAGGGACAAATGTTCCAAGTCCTGATTCGTCTGTCTGTGGCTTCGCTGATAACGTATTATTCGGTGAAATGGATGATGAACCAGATGGACCCAACTAGTAAAAATAAGAAAAAAGCCAAAATCTTAGCAGAAGAGCAGTTGAAGAGGTGCTTGTCACATTTAAGATAGACAAATTAGCGAAACTAATCGTATTTCTTGTCTTGCAGGCTGGCCGAGAAAGATGGATTCAAGCTGAATCCGCAGGAGTTTAACGACTACGAGTTAATGATTGCGTCACATCTGGTTGTACCGGCCGACATAACAGTTAGTTGGTCCGATATCGCCGGACTGGATACTGTCATCCAGGAGCTGCGGGAATCGGTGGTTCTGCCTGTCCAGCACAAGGATCTCTTTAAGCGTTCTAAGCTTTGGCAGGCGCCAAAAGGCGTCCTGCTCCATGGGCCGCCTGGTTGCGGAAAAACGCTGATTGCCAAGGCCACGGCAAAGGAGGCGGGAATGCGATTTGTCAACTTGGACGTTGCCATTCTCACCGATAAGTGGTACGGGGAATCCCAGAAACTGACTTCCGCCGTCTTTTCGCTGGCTACAAAAATCGAGCCATGCATTATATTCATTGACGAAATCGACTCCTTCCTGCGTTCGCGCAACTTGAACGACCACGAGGCCACGGCCATGATGAAGACCCAGTTCATGATGCTATGGGATGGCCTCAGCACGAATTCCAACTCCACGGTGATTGTGATGGGCGCCACGAACAGACCTCAGGATCTGGACAAGGCCATAGTCCGCCGCATGCCAGCCCAGTTCCACATTGGCCTTCCGACGGAGACTCAGCGACACGACATCCTCAAATTGATACTGCAGTCGGAGGAAATAAGTCAAGATGTGGACCTGAATCGCTTGTCCAAGCTCACGAATGGCTTCTCGGGCTCTGATCTGCGAGAAATGTGCCGAAATGCATCAGTTTACAGGATGCGGCAGCTCATCGTGGCAAGTGATCAATCCGGTGCTGCTCTGGACCGAAATAACGTTAATATCACCATGGATGATTTGCTAAGCTCACACCTAAAAATTAAGGAATCTAAAATGCACACGGGAAGCCTTTTTCTAGAGAATAGAATCGAGTTAGACTAAGTTCACCTTTGTTGATTCCATACAGTCAATATATCCAAAAAAGAAAAACAACTTATACATGTCTAATAAACCATTGTGTTTGACTTTTGGGGGGGAACCTCAAAAATGATTTCAAAAATTGTATTTCGTTGAAAATGGCATATGGGCTCAGCGTTATTTAACCCTGTTCTGTAATCAAAAAATGGGTATCCGGAAAATGCATTTAATGTACTCTTGAAAACTGCAACGGATACTGCAGGAAATTACACAATACATAGCATTTCCGCACATTGAAGCTCAATGCACTTTAATTACAACATATACCAGCTGCTGTGAAATATTCACCTAGAGAAATTTCAAACATTTATAAAAATATTGCACTTGTACACTCTTCAAATACATCTTTAACTTTCATCACGCAATCGCGGGCTTTGAATCGTAAAAATATAAGTACACTTGTGCTGTTTTATGCACTATTAAAAAGGTATATTACATTTTCAAGTTTTGCAGCCGGCAAACTGAAGAGAGTGATCCATGAGTGATTTGTAATAACTTTAGTTACGCATCGAAAAAACATGTATTATATTGTAAAACGATTATTTACAAATATTTTTAAATTAAACACATCAATATATATGTTAACATACTTAATAGAAAAAATATCTGATTACTGAATAAAACTTTATAACAGTTTAAAAATAATTAACGTATCAATATTAAAATAGTTTCTTTATGGTTTTAAACCTCATTAAAAATTTGTAGATATTTAATTTTTTATTTAACAGAAAGTAGTGTATACAATACTCAGTGTAAGACAATAACTTTTGTACATTTTTAATTATGTTTCATGTCCATATAAATACTTTCTTGGACTGGCGGAAAAATCATTTCTGCTAAAGGCACCAAACAACCCACATCAAAAATTTAAGCGAGACAATATAAATTGAACAGAATGAACCCGGTGGTAAGCTAAACACAACATTTTGCTTAAAAGGCAGTTTCGGTTTAAATAAAAATCTCCATTACAGATAACTTTGTTCCCTGGATATTTGTTTATAGCTTTAATAATTTTTGGAAGTACAGTGCAAAGCAGTTCATATGCTGTAAATAAGAGCAGTAATGTGGAAAGCCATGATTGGAGCTATCCCGAATCCGGAAAAGTATCTGGATACAATACAGGAAGAAGGCCGGAAAAAATGGAAATACATCGTTATAATCGAGAGGCTGATCGAAACGCGACATTAAAACGAGGAGTGAAAACGTATCAAACGCCATCCGAAAAAACAGCAAGACACAAAATAAAATATAAGCCGTCAAATGCTCGAAGGAAAAATGTTAGTCACAATTACTCCGATAATAATTCCGAAAGTAAGCATTATCACACATTTGAAGAAGTTCATGAGCACATAGAGGAAGACGATGGGCAGTACCAAGCATCTGAGCATATCGGAACACAATCAATCCTGCACGAACACGTTAAAGATCACTCGGCAAAGGATGGAAAACGGATGAGAGTTAAGATCAAACATCACCATCACCACCATCATCACAACCATATAAAGGAAATGATTAAGACCGTCCCGCAACCATATCCCGTGGAAAAGGTTGTGCACGTACCCATTGAGAAAATTGTGGAAAAAATCGTTCATGTTCCCAAGCTGGTTAATGTTACGGTTGAGAAAATAATTCATGTACCCATCGAAAAAATAGTCGAGAAGGTGATTCACATTCCAAAACCGGTCCACGTACCAAAACCATATGTGGTCGAGAAAATCGTTGAAAAAATAGTTCACGTTCCAAAACCGTATCCTGTTCTTCGGACTGTACCGTATCCGGTGGAAATCAAAGTTCCTGTCGAGAAGAAAGTGCCAGTACCCTTTAAGGTTGAGGTAGAACGAAAGGTTCCCATTTACATTCGATCCAGCGAGCCGTACAAGTTCGAGCCATCACCTTTTGAAAGCTATCCCCGTGCCGAAGAATTCAAATATAGCATGGAATTGGATCATCCGCCGCCGAGAGAGCATGAACCATCCTCATTGCCTTCCTCCAACTACTACAACAGGGTATACAAATCTAAGGAGCTGGATCATCCTCCTAGGATACAGGACTATCAAAATGATATACAGCCGCAGTATAAGCACGAATTCGTTACGAAAAGTAGTATTGAACCAACTTCTTCTGGTCGTGATGCGGTTTCTCTTAAGCTTGTGGGCCCCACTAACCACTTCAATATTACGGGAAAGGATTTGGAGGACGCAAACTCACCTCCGGAATTTGTTAATAGCTCAAATTTAGACCTAAGTCCGCAAGAATCTGGTAATGCATTCCGCGGAATCCCTTTCTCCTTACCATTTCAATTTGTACAGCTGCAGCCGATGGCCTTTCAAAATGCTATAAATATGGAATTACCAGTTCCATCAACAGCAGCAGAGATAGCTCAGAAGTAAATTACGCATTAGCTAGACCTGTACCCATTTATGTTAATAAACCAAATTTCGGGAATCAAAGATGTCCCTTACTATATTTTTTTCGAACATCAGTTTTTTTTCCTTGGAACTCAAAATTGATATATTTTCACAACACACATCAATGAGCCAGGATAGACCTGAATTCTGATCTAAACCTCCCATATAATAGAATGATTTTTAGAGTTAATAAATATATTATAGTATTTAAGGATAAATTTAAGCTATATGTACATTTTTTAAAATAATGGTTTTTTATGTTAAGATTAGAAAGCGAAAAGATTGCACACATTCTTAAAATCAATAAATAAATAATTTTAGCAGCCTACAGAAAAAGTGATTTAAAAATGATTTAATAATATGAAAAAAAAATATTCTAATAAATATTTTCCAGAACTAAATCGAATTTAGAATATTAAAAAGAATAACATTAAATATGCTTTAAGGGAACACCCTTAATGTGAATTGCCAACTGCCGTGAAATCGATACCGATATCGATATCTTGCATTCATTCCAATCGCATTCTAAAAGACACAAATTGTATAAATTCTAAAGTAAAATTCAAGGAAACAACAACCTTTTATTTGTTTGTAAACAATATCTGTTTAGCATAAGTTTTACAACAAAGGTAAAAAATTAATTGGTCAACTGGCATTCCGGTCGGCATCAATACCTGAAAAGCGATTTAGTGGCTCTGTTGTGTGTCATTGTTTTTATCAATAAACGAAATTTGAGGCGAAATAATTCCATGTTACTAGTTTTCTTTGATATCTTTGGATAATTATACGCAATTTAGACCGAAAACAATGCATGTTTATTAATTTTAATTTCAAGGCAACCTGATGTTGCGTACATACGTACATTCATATATTTGTTTGTAAGCGAATGCAAACAAATGCACTTACATACATCAATAATCAAGGCAGATTTTTGCTCAACTTACATACTCAATGTAAATGTTTATACATAGGTTGTTTATTGTTTGCAATAAAAATCCTCTCAAAAAAGCCCACATGAAACTAACAGCTTTTGATCAATTTTCTTTTGTAAATATATGTATTGAAATGTTTTGTAATACTACCAACTTCAATATTCTAGGCTTTATTTGGAAATAATGAATTCCAAATCCGATCATGAAGCAGAAAAGGAAAAAAAGTTGACCATTACCAATAGATTTGGGGACTCACTGGAAAACTATGAACTATCCAACGAGAGCGAACAGAAAACCCATGCTTACTCGAAAAAGATTCCTAACAGAAAGAATGGAATATTAAAGTACGTATCACTGATGGTTTTAATCATTGAATGCTAATAAATTTCCAATATTTAGAAACAGCGATACCAATCATGGTTCTGTGGAAAATCCCTATCACGAGGATGTGGATTTGGCTGACATTCTGGGCTCAAATTGGCCCAAACGTGCAGGAGCGGCTGCTATGATTTTAAACAACAAAAGCAAAACGGTGACTGAACCTACAACTTGCGAAGAATCTTTTCTGAAACCAGCTTCCCCCATTTTAACAAAAGTAGAAACAGAGGAACCTTTGCGTAAGTCTATGATATGTCAAAAATTGTGTTCTAGGCTCCCAAAGCAATGGGCATTCATTCCAAGCTAGTTTGCCACAAAGTGAACACTTCTCGACAACTAAAAACGAAGTAAAAATTAAGTGAACAATTAAACATAAAAGTAAATAGTGTAAGCTTACAATTCTTAATCTCTAGTCTACAATGTCAAGAAATGGCAATATTCTTGGAAACATCAAGACAATTTTCACAAAACGAAGCATTTAAATTGTGAAACCTCCTTTTATATCCGAAGAGTAGGCGTAGCTGGACACTCGGTAACGTTAACTTTTCATCCTTCACCACAAATAGTTGATAGAACTATGAGTGTTGTCCCGAGCTTGGCTAGAAAATATTTTAGAAACTTTCTACTCGCAGGTAAGACCGTTAACAAAACTGCGACGATCCAATAGCTCCCGAAGTTTCATGACTCGATAGTCGCACAAAAAAGCCAAGATATTACAGTGTTTTTGTAAGTTCTTTGTTCACTTTGCTGTCTTGCAAAACATCACAGATAGAAAATGTGCATTTATTTTTAGATCGCCGGCAAATACACATATATTCTATTTACGATCACTGCCAGCGGCAGTGCTCTGAGTTGATATATGCAGTTTGTTGAGGAGTTTTATTAATGCTGAACATTGCCAGTACTCAACTGTTGAAAAATATACCAATAATAAAAGAAACTGTGTTGTGCGATTACCAAATATGAATCTACACCAAAAAACAATGTGTTCTGAGTCAGATATTCACAACAATATCCCATTAACTGTACTGGAATTTTATTCACCGGATTACAGGCCCGAAGAGCCGGGTACGTTCGATTACGAAATCGTAGCACAAATTTCTCAAATTTGTAGTTGTTGTATTCTTAACGTTTCTGAGGAAGCTTTTCGTATATCGGTTTCGGTTATCAAATCATCGATTCGCGAAGATCAAAAAATGTCAAATTAATAAATGTATTTAATTTCTTCAAGGTTTTACAATTGCTGATTACCAGCCTCTAAATGAAATACCAAAAACAGACCTAGCGATTGGTTCCCTTGTAGAAGTATCGAATTCTGGAGTGTGTGAAGATCTATATGGCGTTATAAGATGGATTGGCATTCCTCCTGGCACTCCGAAGAACGTGCTCGTTGGAATAGAGGCTGAAGACGAATCCAACTTAAAGAACGTTGTGACATCAGATGGAAGGCATAATGGAGTTCGGTATGTTTTTGTTTATAAAAAAAACTTTTATTTTTGGCATCGTTTGCATTTTTTTTTTTACTAACTCTATTATTTGCTTTCTATATTGTTTTAGCTTATTCACTTGCCACGATGGTCGAGCTGTTTTTGTACCAGCCAACAGATGTACTGCTGACCGGCGATTTGCTGATGTAGACAATAGTGTTTCTGCAAGTAGAGTTTCCAATAACCAGGCAAAGAAGTTTGGTGTCGCTGATTGCCCCGCTATTTACGGTTCGATACCGCCATTGGGTTAGCATGTCATTTAAGAAAAATATTTATATTTACACACAGTAACAATGCGGATTTATACAATTTTTTAGAGATACACAACTCTGAAGAGCTTGCAAGTATTTGCGGGAAGTTTAAGGGCATACAAGGACATCACAACTCCTGCTATCTTGATGCAACTCTATTTTCGATGTTCACATTCACCAGTGTATTTGATTCAATTCTGTACAGAAATCCGGGACCACAAGTAAGATCCTTAAATTTCTAGCTTTAACTGGTAATTTATTATATTTGCCACAGGACATTCGGAATTACAGTGAAGTCCAAAAGGTTTTGCGCGATGAAATCGTCAATCCATTGCGAAAAAACGTTTTTGTGCGATCTGATCGGGTTATGAAACTACGGGAGCTACTGGATCAACTCAGTTCTGTAAGCGGCCTTACCTGCGAGGAGAAAGATCCTGAAGAGTTCCTAAATAGCTTACTCTCGCAAATTATGCGAGTGGAACCATTTTTAAAGGTTGAATATTGTATATATTTTATGAACATATTTATACTAAATAACTAAAATATGTTTTAGTTAAGCTCTGGACAAGACTCTTATTTCTATCAACTTTTTGTGGAGAAGGATGAAAAGTTAACGTTTCCTAGTGTTCAGCAACTGTTTGAACAAAGCTTCCACTCCTCGGATATAAAACTGAAGGAGGTTCCATCTTGTTTCATCATTCAAATGCCTCGTTTTGGAAAAAATTTTAAGATGTATCCAAGAATATTGCCATCCCAAGTTCTTGACGTTACAGACATTATTGAGAATTGTAAGTTCTTGTTTTCTTGTTTGTTTACTAGTTTACTTAATTTTTACTCCATTTTAAGCTCCCCGACAGTGTTCACTTTGTGGCAAACTAGCGGAGTATGAATGCCGTGATTGCTTTGGAAGCCTACAAGCTGGATCAGGACTTGAATGCACCGCATTTTGTCCTAAATGTCTTAAAACATTTCACTCTCACATCAAAAGGTTTGATAAATTTATAAGGAAGACTGTTGTAAAAACTAAAAAAAAAAAAACAACAAATATTTTCAGAACTAATCATGTGTCGAAAAAGATCTACAGTCCGAAAGAATTTAGAATTATGGCCGAGCACATGGTTGTCCCGCGATTGTTCATGGAATTGTTTGCTGTTGTTTGCATAGAAACGTCTCATTATGTGGCGTTCGTGAAGTCTGGCTCTGGACCTGATGCACCATGGTGCTTTTTCGATTCAATGGCTGACAGAAAGGGTAAGCTTCTTAAGCTCTGTTCCTCGATGGTTTTGGTTAACGCGTAACATTATTGCAGGTGAACAGAATGGATACAATATACCTGAAATTACGTGTGTTCCAGAATTAACACAGTGGCTCTCGGAAGAAGGCGCACGATCTATAAATGAAACTTCAACGAACGATAAAGTATTACCTGAACACGCTAAGCGTATTTTTTGCGATGCCTATATGTGTCTGTACCAAAGCACAGATATTATGATGTACCATTAGACAAATTTATCTATAGTGAACATGGATACAATAACATTTTTGTAAAAATCACAAGTTTTATGAATTTTATTTGTGTAATTGTGTGGGAATATTGGGGTTTCAGCAAACTTGATAAAAACTGATTTTGATAAATGTATCTTTATTAAAAATCATAAGCGAAACCTAAACTATAAAAAAATATTTAGGGTGTTACTGTTAACAGGATGAGAGGCATATGAAGGAGCAGACGAGGGACGCTCGACTGCAGGGTCACTACTCAATAGATTTGACCGAGAGTTCATATAGAAACGTGTACCTAGGTAAGACCATAGGTACATTTTTGGTACCTTGGCTTTTCAGCAATTCAACATTTTCAGAAACCTATGGGTTGCTGAAATGCTGAAATTTCAGCGAGTAAACTTTGTATGGAACAGCTGACCGAATTCAGGGAAGAACACATTTATATTTATATATATTTTTGATAAACATCTTCAGGAGTGTTATTCTAGGCATATCTGTCTGTCTGTCCATTTCTACGCCAAATTGTCTCAGTTTTAAAACTCCATTAAACTTTCCCAAAAGTTGTCTTTCTGTTGCAGGTAGTATATACATAAGTCGGAACGACTTGAGAATATACTGTACAAATTTCAAGTAAATCCGAGTTAAAGTACCAGATTGTTCACGTATGAAAAACTTTAAATCTATTTTCCCGAAAAGGTATTTTTTGAAGTTTGTGAACATTAGAACACAAAATCTATTGAACCGATCCTTTAAACATTAATTCTTCACATAAATCAACATTTTTTTTATTAAAAAAAAAAATATAGACGCCGCAAATTATCTAAGATTGTGGGAGGACACGGACATTTAAATCACTAAGTTACAAGCACATAAAAAAAATTCTAATCCTAACGTGTACTAACATTATTAAAGTTTTATTTTCTAGCAAAACTGGCTACAGAACTGAATGAAAGGCTGAATAAAAATGAGAAAAGAACTGAGCACTTAAGCGTTCAAGGCATTATTCCGGATAAAAAATAAAAATATACATACAATGATATGTACATTAACATGTACATACACATCTTGAAGTGATTACTATTGGTCGGCGGAGATAATACAAAAAGGCAGCGAATGCCATTGGTGGAATTTTGGGGGAGGATATCCAGATGCTGGCCTACAACGCTGGTTCATTCAACATCTGAAAAAGTTATTCAGTTACTTCCCAGCCAGCAAAGACGAGTTATATATTCCGTACTAGCAGCAAAAATGCAGATCTTTAACCGCGAAACTTTGTATTCTAATTTACATGAGTTAAATTAAAAAAAATATGTTTAAAAATACCGTAGCCTTAGGGCGTGATTACTCAACCATGTACTATAACTCAGTATATAATGGATCTGCCATTTTCGACATAAAACGTAAAGTTTATTTGTTTGTACTTAGTGGCCGTAAATGCAATTAATCAAATCAAAATCACAATAAAATCACTATTACTTTATTATTTTGTGATGCTTAAACGATTTTATATTGCTTTTCGGAAATCAAAATTGAGTTTAATTTCACATATTGTTTTTGGAAATTGTTTCAGACTCTGAAAGTCAAGTTCAGCAACAGATATATAACACAAATCACATTAGTTATGTGCCAGCATCGAGTACACGGATTGTTAAGAAACGAAATACAGCTAATAAAAAGGAGAGAAGGCGAACACAAAGCATAAACAACGCATTCTCCTACCTTCGAGAAAAGATTCCAAATGTTCCTACAGATACTAAATTATCAAAGGTAATTTCAATAAAAGATATCAACGCACCTACCCGAACATTAAAACTAAAGTGAAGTTATTGCCCATTAGTTAAAAATAAAAACTGAACATTTATAAAAACACTTTGCCAAGTTTGTGAAAATTAATGAATAATACAAACAAACAAATTGTTGTATAAATATTTCAACAAAATTCTTGTGTGTATATTTGGTTTACTTAACAGATTAAAACATTGAAGTTGGCCATTTTGTACATAAACTACTTAGTTAATGTTCTTGAAGGAGATCAGGACCCAAAAGGCGGATTTCGAGCAGAGCTTAAGCCAGTCAGCCGTAAGATCTGTAGCGAAAAGAAGCACTGCTTAAAGTCAGAGATTCAAGTAAGAAAACGCAATTAAGTTTTTAAATTTTTATTATAACCTATTGGTCATACTGACATTTCTTTAAAAATCAGAAATTTGTTTAAAATATATTTTTAAGAATATGACTGTGTGTACTTTCCGACGCTTTTGTATTTTAGTTTAAAAAGATTTAGTTTTGGAGATTGTCCGACGGCAAGTAACCTGCCTAAGTTTTATTCTACTCAGAAAGATGAAAGCCATTTATTAGATTTCCATTAACTGCAACCAGCATTTTATGGTTAACAACTATCGCAAAACTTTACAGTTCTTACATAGTCCACAAACAACGTAGTTCCGATTGCTCTTTATTATACAGAAATAAAGTTAAACAGAGGTTTTCGCGTTATGGGGGCGTATCGTCTGTAATTTTTGAAGATAGTAATGACAATCATTTCTGTTTTTAATTTTAAAATTGTTCTTTTCATCGATTGTCTATGCTTTTTATTTTGTTAAGGTCTCTTTTCGGATTTTTTATATCCAAGATACACAAGATATTTCCTCTGCAGCGTCAGTACTTTGTTTTCAGCACTGGGGTAGATATCTCAATTGTTTGTTTATTAAAAGGAATAAAAGCACTTGACTTTATAAAAGTACATTTTTAGTTCTGAATTGGAAAAAATCAACCATCCACAAGCATGGAGCGATTTCCCCTTGTAATCCGCAAGCGAAAACACGATTTTATTGTCTTAATGGAAATGCAGCGTATTTTTCGGCTTCAAAAATTGAGATTCGACAAGTAGGACCAGTGACCGGTTGTAAGTTGTACTTTATTATGCAATTTACGAAGTGATAAACCGCAGACACATGCAGGCGTAATTGAGAATCCATGCTATCCAGCCGTCGCCATCACAAAACAAAAGTGGGGGTGATTGCTTGATACATTCATTTAATAGGGCAATCTGGTAATAGATATGAATGTAAGAGGCAAGTGCCCAAGTGCTGTTCCACAAAAATATATAATCCATTAGGGGTTTGATTAATCAAGTGCTTTGTTTGAACTTTTGTCTGGGAATTACAAGTTGGATATTCGTGCAGGCTAACTCCGCCGGTGGAAATAAAGTGAAACATCGGCGGTTTTTAGGATGTTTAAATTTTGATGGCACTTTTAACATTAAAAGCCTATATTAAGAGATTTTTTAAATAACTGATAACAACTTAATATTATGTTTTTCTTTTACATTTTGAGCAAAACACTTGTGTTCTCTTTTAAAGTTTTTTGTTAGGCGCTAGGACTTTGAAAAATCGACTAAATTTTTTTCTTACTCGAAAATCTAATTTAATAACGCTTTAATTGCTGTAACATTGTCAATTTTACTCAGAAATAGGATATATTGGCAAAATTAACCCGAAATTTTGTGCATTAAAATACATATTAAAAACAAAAAAAATTAATAACATTTTCCTGGCTAAAAGTAGGTTTTGCAGTCTAAAACCGAATTTAAGATTTTAATGAAGGCGAGAAAAAGGCTCTGATATTGGCAATTGTTTTGTATGAGCAATGAATATTTTCTTAAAAAATATTGCATAACAAATACAATTTCAAAACAATTGAAACTATGTTAATGTATTTTACGAAACATTTTTTATGTGAGTTTTTGTGGATGTTGTCTTTATGCACGCAAACACAATTAGATCTGAACTACATTTCTAAATAAAATATTGAAGTGTTTCTACAGTGCTTCCGTGCACGTGTTATCTTCTTGTTTACTTCTTAATTGTCTATTTGTGGGTACAAGTTGTAAACAAAAAAAAAAGGAACTATGATCTACATAAACAGAACTATTGCGTTTGGTACGCGCAAGTACGTTTCAATTAAAGTTACATATGTATACATATTTACATATATTCTACAAAGAGCTATTAAACTTAGAGTTTTAACAATATCAAAATATTTTCTAAGATTTAAATCATACGCTTACATTGGGGCAAAATGGGCGTTAATGGGAGTTGTGTAGAATTTGCTTATTTTTTAAAGAAGTATTCGAATGTGAAAATACTATCGTCGCCTATACAACAAAAAAAAAACTGCTGAAGGAAAACACAAAAAATATGCATAAAGAAAATATTTTTAAGCTAGATGCGATATTTGGGTCGACTCCAGTGACCGACCGATGCACCGATTAGATTTAGTTCAATTAAAAATCACAAATCCATAATCTTTCTTCTGACAGCTATGTAAATAGTCGTTAACTAAAAAAAAATTTAAAACAAAATTACTAAAGCCCTGAGCATATGCGTATATCTGGAAAGTTAATAAGAATAATATACATTTTGAAGATTTATCGTAAACACTGTAAATTAGTAATTATAAAAGCTATATTTCGCTAATCTTAGCACAATATTTTTAAAATTTAAATTTAGAAACTGAAATACAAATATATATATTTTTTTTAAGCAATGACTATTTAGCGTTGTTGAATGGCGCGCTTACCAATTCCTCCAAAACCACTCTACACTTTTTTGGTCGAATTTGGCTTTAAACTTTTTAAACCGCCCGTTCTGACCTAACACATTACACTTCCATTAGCCAAAAGAAGACGTTTGAAAAAGTTTCTTTAAGATAGCTTATAAATTGAGTTACAAGTTTGAGTTGAAACGGACGGACGGACAAATGGAAATGGCTAGACCGACTTGACTGTTCATACTTATCAATGATAAAAAACGTTTTCTTCACTTCGTTTCTAACTTATTTATCAAAATTATAATACTTTCTACAAGAATACAAAAAACTAGTTTGACATCACTTCGACTTCTAGTAAATTGTCTGTTTTCAGCGCTATTTTTCTTAGCGATAATTATGATTAAAATTTTGTTTATATTTTAAATTTATATATGTATTATACAATGCTAATACTTATTTTTCAGAATATTCCCATGTCGACTAAGGGCCGTACAGGTTGGCCACAAGATGTTTGGGCATCGGAACTTATTCCAGAGCATAACTAGACTTCGCTACTTTACTTATATTATGTATTACAATATAAATATATACAAGTATATTAATTAAATTAAAAAGAAATTTTAAAATAAATCATTTGACCAGAACCCATTTATATTAATTTTTAATATAAGCTACGATTATCCGACCAAAGGATTTTATTTAGGTAACAGCTTGCGTAATTGAACACATAAGGGAAAGTGAGGCAAAACCAGTACCCTTAATGGTAGTGCTTAAAAAAGGTGGTAAAAAACTCAAGTTTTTGTGTTTAAAGTTTTCAATTATCTATGATCCGAACCGGTTCCCAAGGTTTTAAAGTAACGTTATCAAAAATGGGGCAAACCCCAACAGCTTAGTTTTTGGCCTGCTCAATATACATAGTTGGAGCTAAACCAAACCCCTCAACACATTTTTAAAATTTAGAAATAAAACCAAAGCGTTAAGGTGCGTTTAATTAAATCAAATAAATAAATTAATATAAAAAAGGTATATAAGCAAGTAAATAATGGAATTGAACTTTCCACATTGGGCGTATAAAGTGGCTCTTCATCCGTAAAATTCTTTAAAGGTTTAAGCAAGTGAGAATTTCTGGTTGAATTGAGTGCATTTTCAATTTTTTTTATATATATGTATTCTTTAAAGATTACATTTTCTTTTCAACTCACCGCAAATTTTCCCTTTTTAATACACTGATGAAACATTGTCTTTTTTCTTTTACGCATCTTTCGCCAAATTCTGCGCCCATTACTTTAGGCCACGTTTGCCAGGGTCCCGGCGATGTTTTATTATTATTTTATTTATTTAAATAACACTCCACGAACTAGACGATACAGCAGCTTGCAGCGCCGACAATATTCGCGAATTAGAGAAATCGACTCTAAATCGATCGACCCTATTTTCCCTTCGCCTATTACATACTTGGAACGTTTGATCGGTATTCCTGCTGTCTAATTGGGCAGCTTAATACTGTGCAAGCTAATCATGATTTGTATGTTGGTGGATGTTATGATTAAGATCCTTGTGATCGCGTTTGGTCCCAAGCTCAGTTATTTTACATAGTTTTTGGAAGGCGCCTAGCGATAAGTTTGGCGCCGCCATATTTTTTTTCGATTTCTACTCGATGTTTGGCATATCGCTATACACTATCGTGCGTAACAACCACCTCTAACAACAAAAAACAGCAAGTAAACAAAGGCGAAAAGATACAGTTTTTAACATTGCCATTTTCAATAAAATGAATATAAATTATGAAAACTATCATTTAGTCTTTGTTTTCGTCTACAAATAAAAAATAATATCATATCAAAATTTACGAAAGTGTACCTAGGGCTAATTAGACTGTTAAGCGCAATTAATTATATGAAAAGATGAATAAAATAATATATAGATGAATATATAATATAATATAAATAAATGTATAAATTAATAAATAATATAACGTTGGTATTCCCGAACGTCTGAGTCTCTGAATTGCTGAAAATTAGTCAGTTCATTATAAGCTGTTCCATACTGCTGGTGAAAATTTTGTTGAATTGCTGAAAAGCCAGGGTAGTCGCTCTTTCCTACTAAAAATAAAGAAGGCAACACTGGACCCAACATTAAATTAATCACCAAATATATGAAAACAAAGAAGTTTAGACGGTATATCACTTGTTATTAAATTCAATAGTTTGTCTCTCTAATTTTTCACAGATTCAGACGCTTCGGGAATGTAGATGAAGTGTTAAGTGAGTACGCATAAATTTGTCGAAGACTGACAATATTTCTGCTTTTTATAATGTTTTATAATTTATCAGTAACTGTAAGTCGTTAAGAGAGTTAGATAATTTACTTGACTATTCTTCATATACGAATAAAAATACTTTAAATTGAGTTATATTAACAGTGGGCTTCATAGCCCTAAAACACTACTGCGAATTTCCTAAAATTAACTGTAAGAATTGCACAGCCATTTTTAAACCAGTTTAAAATGTTAAATTTTTTTCGTTTATGGATTTGAAAATCGGAGTTCCGCCGATTTTAGTGTAAACTGTCTTTTAGCTTGTGAGAATACCCTTGTTTTTTTGCGATTATAATCTGACACGATAAATCGTAATATGTATCGTAATTTGTTCATCTCTATAATCAATTTTCGAGCTGCTGGACTGGATATTTGTGTGAATAAAAATAGTGTGGTGTATTGAGTAATTGTAGAAAAGCTTTAAAAAAGCAGCTTTAAAAAAGCAAGCACCAGCAAAATATTCAATATAATGCAAAAAAGGTAGATTTACTAAGTTACAGAACAGTTTGGTCATAGTTTGTGTTTTTATATGTGCATATGTATGTGTCTGAACAGACACGACACTAAAGTTAATAAATAAATGAACGGTTACATTACGTACAAATGTCTTCGTGTTGGTACATATGTACATATATGTATTGTGAAATGTGTACATACTTTGACGAAGACAATAGTTATTACAACTGCGTTTTTATGTAACTCCAAGTGGGTTTTGGGAAAAAGGTCTTTAAATTATACATACACAACTGGAATTTCGTTGAGGGCAAAAGAAGTGTCATCATTCTCTTACTCAAAATTTGATCATTTTTTGGACAAAGAGGAAAATTTCATAGAACAATGATTGTCTTCCTGCTTAATAACTTATTGAGTATTGTTAAGACGAAAATTATACAGTTCACATAAATATATATATATATATATATATATATATATATATACATATTTGAGCTCTTCCCTACAAATAAAAAAAAAAGAAATTTTTCGTGTTATGGTGAAAAAAATGTAATTACACATGTAACATACGTACATTTATACGTACCAAAGTAGTTCTGGTTAAATAAATGATCTGGAATCATTGGCTCTGCAGTTTTCCATCACGACATCTCAAAATTTCTTTTATCATGGAGAAATAGAACAAATAGAAAGTATACAACGCAGTTTCCCATCAACTATCTCTTTGTTTGTCGTGCCATGTGGGCATTTGGCAATTCAGGCGACTTAAGCAGGAATGGTATGTTATCCAATTGGCAAAGACAATTTTACCAATAAATCTTAGTAAGAGCAATAAAATGTATACTTGCACATGCTTCGTATTAGAACTGTTAAGCTGAAGTAGTTTTAATTTTTAAAAACTTCAGTTTAATTGTTTTGTTCGTAATATAATATACATTTGGCTATCTTATATATTGATATATTATTTTTCATGGTTATCCATTTGTTTGCCAACGGAAAAAATGCCTAGCAACCCAAAGTTATCTAGATATAATCATTATTTCGAAAATAGAAGAAAGGATTTCTTTTCTTCAATAACATACATATGTATATATGTAGGTGTACGTATAAGAATATCAAATAATTATGAGATCTGTAACATAAACTTTACAATAATTTAATAATCATTTTTTCTTGTCTTTTATCAGATTTGGTTAAGCATAAATCAAATTTCGATTTGCGGTAAGTAAAACATGTCTCTTTTAAATTTAAAACATAAAGTGATCGGACATATTAGTAAACTAATAAAAACTAGGGGAGCTGACTGTACAAAATTTGTTGATTGAAAATCACTTGGCAGTAGTAAAATGATATCAGCTGAACAAATAGAGAATATAATATGATTTATTTTATCAATGCAGCTGCTTTGGTTTTAGCATACCTTTTGCATGTTGTAATGAGCATGACTAATATAGAAACCGATGCATCACTATGAAAACACGTTTGTGGTTTTGTAAATATTAGTTCAAACTGCAAGAGTTAGTAAACTTTGATTTGCTAATCTACTAGTTATTTCATTACAATTAAAGACCTCGAAATGTATGTTAAAAATGTATTTCATTACAATTTAAAACAACATCTGATACTTACACATGTTTGTTTGTGTTTTTTGTTTACTAATTTATTATATGCAGTATATATTTTTGTGGTTTTCATCATGTCAAGATGAATATATTAGAATTTTCTAAATCCATTAGAAGCTCCCCTGCGCGTCCGTTGCTTTATGTTTTAGTTGTCAAAATATCACATGTATACTAGTCAATATTCAAAATTTTGTTGTTTACATCACAGATGGGCGATGTCGATCCCGAGACGCTGCTGGAATGGTTGTCCATGGGACAAGGAGATGAGCGGGATATGCAACTGATTGCGCTGGAGCAGCTTTGTATGCTGCTCCTGATGTCTGATAATGTAGATCGTTGCTTCGAAAGGTATTTATAAATGACACTTGGAGTGGACTCCACTTCTAATCTCATATTTATTTCTCCCACACATAAGCTGTCCTCCTCGAACATTTTTGCCGGCGCTATGCAAGATATTCCTAGACGAACTGGCACCTGAAAATGTACTCGAGGTCACTGCGCGAGCCATCACCTATTACCTGGATGTGTCGGCGGAGTGCACCAGGCGCATCGTTTCGATTGATGGAGCCATCAAAGCCATATGCAACCATCTTGTGGTTACGGATTTGTCATCGCGAACATCTCGCGATCTGGCCGAGCAATGTATCAAAGTGCTTGAACTGATTTGCACCCGAGAAGCGGGCGCCGTCTTTGAGGGCGGTGGCCTCAACTGCGTCCTGTCCTTTATTAGGGACTGCGGATCGCAAGTTCACAAGGACACCCTACATTCGGCCATGTCCGTTGTATCCAGGCTCTGCACCAAGGTGGAGCCCAACACGCCGTGCATTCAGAACTGCGTCGAGAGTCTGAGCACTCTGCTGCAACACGAGGATGCCATGGTATCCGATGGCGCTTTGAAGTGCTTTGCCTCCGTGGCCGACCGATTCACACGAAAGTGGGTTGATCCAGCGCCGCTGGCAGAGTACGGTTTGACCACTGAGTTGCTCAAGCGCCTCAAGAGTGTCGGCGGAAACACACACTCTTCGCTGTCTGCGGCAGGAGCCCAGCCGACTAGCTCTAGCCAACCCGCTGCGGCCACAAACTCGGATGCAATCAATGAAAACGTAGCGGGCAATGCAACCATTTCCAGCAGCACCAAGGTCAAGGCATCCGATGTGGCCGCATCGCCACAGTCGATATCGACTACAATTTCCTTGCTGTCGACACTTTGCCGCGGATCTCCTTCCATCACCCATGATATTCTGCGTTCCCAGTTGGCTGACGCCCTCGAAAGAGCCTTGCAGGGCGATGAGCGATGCGTGCTGGACTGCATGCGATTCGCAGATCTCTTGCTTTTACTTTTGTTCGAGGGGCGCCAGGCCTTGAACCGAGGAAGTAACAATCCCAATCAGGGACAATTGGCGCCACGACCCAGGCGCAACAACACCAACACCGATCGCACGCATCGCCAGCTTATCGACTGCATACGATCGAAGGACTCGGAGGCGCTTCGCGAGGCCATCGAATCTGGGGGCATAGACGTCAACTGTATGGACGATGTGGGTCAAACCCTTCTCAACTGGGCTTCAGCCTTTGGCACACTGGAAATGGTGGAATATTTGTGTGAGAAGGGAGCGGATGTCAACAAGGGCCAGCGGAGTTCTTCCCTTCACTACGCCGCATGCTTTGGTCGACCGGCCATTGCGAAAATCCTGCTTAAATTCGGAGCCTATCCGGACCTGCGCGATGAGGATGGTAAAACACCATTAGATAAGGCACGCGAAAGATTGGACGATGGACATCGGGAAGTGGCAGCTATTTTGCAGTCACCGGGAGAGTGGATGTCTCCCGATCACTCGCTGCTCAACAAGGACGGAAAAAAGTATACGTTGATGGAGCCCAGGGGTGATCCTGAAATGGCGCCCATTTACCTCAAGGTACTGCTGCCCATATTCTGTCGGACCTTCTTGGGCTCCATGTTGGGCAGTGTGCGACGGGCCAGTTTGGCCCTGATAAAGAAGATTGTACAATATGCGTACCCAACGGTGCTCCAAAGTCTCAGTGAAACCAGTTTTAGCGAAGATGAGCCGTCAACATCGAGCCAAAATGGTGGTAACCTACTTATCGAAGTGGTCGCTAGTGTCCTAGACAACGAGGTAAAAATAAAATGCATCATATCATTTTAACTAAATTAAGATAGTTTCAAAACAAGACTGAAATCTTAAAAGAACAGACTGACAAATTCCAATAAAAAATATGTAAAAAGAATTAGAAAAGTGTCTGTCGAAGCAGTAAAAGTTTTACTAACACTTTAAAATAATTACAGGATGACGACGACGGGCACTTAATTGTTTTAAATATTATTGAGGAAATTATGTGTAAGACACAAGAGGAATTTCTCGACCACTTTGCAAGACTAGGAGTGTTTGCTAAAGTTCAAAACCTGATGGACAATGATGCAGAGGAATTGTATGTGCAATTATCAGGAAACCCCGATGAACCAGCTGTCGTGCAGAGATCATCGACCAGTGTTGTAGTCTCCCCAAGATCAACTTCAGGTTTGTTTCCCTACTTAATGAATGAAATGAAATAGCACAAGCACTTATTTATTACATTTTCAAATTTCAATTTAGATGATCCTATGGAGGACGCAAAGGAGATATTGCAAGGAAAGCCTTATCACTGGCGAGAGTGGAGCATTTGCAGGGGTCGAGATTGCTTGTACGTCTGGTCGGACTCGGTGGCTCTAGAGCTTTCCAACGGCTCTAACGGGTGGTTCCGTTTCATAATCGATGGAAAGCTAGCAACGATGTACTCCAGTGGAAGTCCAGAAAACGGAAATGACAGTTCTGGTAATTGGCAAATGTTTAACTTTGTATTCGATGCACTAAGGTTTTCTATTGTATTTATTCTCAGAAAATCGAGGAGAGTTTCTTGAGAAGCTTATGCGTGCACGTTCCTGCGTAATTCCAGGAGTTGTATCCCAGCCCATTTTGCCCACTGCAAGTGCTCTACGATTGGTTGTTGGTAACTGGGTCCTGCAGTCGCATAAAACAAATCAACTTCAAATTCACAACACCGAAGGCCATCAGGTAACCGTGTTACAGGACGATTTGCCTGGCTTTATCTTTGAAAGCAACCGTGGAACGAAGCATACCTTCACGGCTGAAACTGTCTTGGGTCCCGATTTTGCCTCCGGTTGGTCAACGGCTAAAAAGAAACGCAACAAGTCCAAGACCGAGGGTCAAAAGTCTCAAGTTCGCAACTTATCCCGCGAAATTTACAACAAGTACTTCAAGTCTGCCCAAACGATTCCTCGCGGAGCGGTGGCAATACTTACGGACATTGTGAAGCAAATTGAATTATCCTTTGAGGAGCAGCACATGGCACCAAATGGAAACTGGGAGACAACACTCTCGGACGCCCTAATGAAGCTGTCTCAATTGATCCATGAAGATGGTGTCGTGAGCGCCTACGAAATGCACTCGTCGGGATTGGTGCAAGCGTTAGTGGCCGTTTTGTCGGTTAACCATTGGGAAAATAATTCACCTCGATGCAAACGAAATAAAATGCAAAAACAACGAGTTTCCGTATTCAAGAAATGCATACTGGAGGATAACGTTGAATCCGCAACGAATAAGCCGCGAACTAAGAGCACTGCAAGTATTTTAATACAGAAACTTGTATCGGTTCTGGAGAGCACAGAGAAGCTACCAGTGTACTTGTATGACACTCCATGCACTGGTTACAGCTTGCAAATTCTGCAGAAACGACTTCGCTTCCGTTTGGAGCGAGCAGAATGCGAGAGCACTTTATTCGACCGATCCGGTCGAACTCTAAAAATGGAACCTTTGGCCACAATTGGACAACTATCCAAGTATCTGCTGAAAATGGTGGCCAAACAATGGTACGACCTCGATCGGTCCACATATTTTTATTTGAAAAAAATACGCGAACATCGGACCGGCACTGTGTTTACGCACTTATTTGACTTTGACGAAGAGGGTTTGTTGTTCTACATTGGCTCTAATGCAAAGACTTGCGATTGGGTCAACCCAGCGCAATATGGACTTGTGCAAGTGACCAGCTCGGAGGGGAAGACCTTGCCATATGGCAAACTGGAGGATATTCTGTCTCGCGACAGCATCTCACTCAATTGTCACACCAAGGACAACAAGAAGGCCTGGTTTGCCATCGACTTGGGCGTGTATATAATACCCACTGCGTACACGCTTCGTCATGCGCGCGGTTATGGAAGGTCGGCTCTGAGGAACTGGCTTCTCCAGGGATCAAAGGATGGCCTAAGTTGGACAACCCTCAGCTCACACGTGGATGACAAGAGTCTCGTGGAGCCCGGTAGCACAGCGACTTGGCCCATAACGTGTGCAGCTGACGACTCGGTTAGATATAGGCACATCAGAATCCAGCAAAATGGACGCAATGCATCTGGCCAGACCCATTATTTGAGTTTGAGTGGATTCGAGATCTATGGTCGCGTCGTCGGAGTTGCCGACGACATTGGCAAGAGCGTCAAGGAGGCTGAGGCAAAAATTAGGCGCGAGAGGCGACAAATAAGAGCTCAGCTCAAGCATATGACTACCGGTGCTCGAGTAATTCGAGGCGTCGACTGGCGGTGGGAGGATCAGGATGGTTGTGCCGAGGGCACAATAACCGGTGAAATTCACAACGGCTGGATCGATGTGAAGTGGGACCACGGCGTACGCAACTCGTATCGCATGGGAGCCGAAGGGAAGTACGACTTAAAGATGGCCGATTGCGAATATCTTTCCGTATTCGAAGGAAACCAGTCGATGGTTACTGTGAACGCGGCTGCAAAAATAAACGATAAATCAAACACGCTCACCTCGCGCAAATCAAGTTCAACTCCATCCCTGCCCGAAGCCACTGAAAAGAATCAAAACGCTGAAGGTGCGTCCAATCAAACCGTTTCGGCTGATAACTTGGCCTGGAAACAGGCGGTGGAGACGATTGCAGAGAACGTGTTTGCTTCGGCAAAGACACAGATTATCTCAAATCAACTGGCTATGAACACGTCATCCTCTCGGGAAGTTCGAACCAAGCACAAGGAGTCGGCTGCCAACCAAATGCATAAGGATAACATAAGTGGACCGTCGCCATTGAGTCGCGAGCTGGAGCACATATCGGACTTGTCGGCCATCAACAACTCGATGCCGGCAATTAACTCAAATATTGTTTCCGATCTAGCTACCATTTCGGAGAACCTATCCCTAGCTGAATTGTCCAAAGAAAACATATGCAGTGTCCTTTCGCCTTCATATAAGCCCGCTGAGGCTGTTGCTGCGAGTCAAAGCTCAAGCCTTCCCGATGTACAGAGTTCGTCTCCGTCTCCGCGAGAGAGTGATATAAAGAACATATCCAACATTGAAGAGAACAATAAGATGAATGCAAACAACACGGTGAATAAGATATCAAAGGATCTGCTTGTGAATCTCCGAACATCGAACATTGCAGGCTGTCAACCGGTGACACAACTTTCGACCGAAGCCCTCGAAATGATCGACAAGATGCGTGATGGCGTGGATATGATACGGAATAACTCCAACAACATTCTTTCCACAGACACTTTCCCCATGCCGCCATGCACAAACATGGGAGTCGGAGTTAAAAAGACACCCAAGGCTCAGGCGCTGATAAATCCCGAAAATGCGAATCAAAAACAAATCATAGTTGCAACAGAAGAATATCCCAGCAAGAGTTCAAAGAAACCCAGTGTAACGTTGAAGCCAACACAGCAGCCAAATGCCGTGCTTTCGATCGTGGACATCAAAGATCCGCAAATTTCATCCGAAAGCGTTTCGGTGCCCAGCCAGATGAGTATAAGTGTTCCTAATCTGACAACAACTTCAGCATCTGAGGTTCCCTCCACCTCAGAGGTGGCTACCCACACGGGTCTGCTGGAGACATTTGCGGCAATCGCTCGTCGACGCACCTCGCAGGGCACCAACATACAGGATAATCAGATCATGAATGCGGAAGTGAATGTGAACGAGCACGGGGATCAGAACGCATCGGGCTCATTCCTCGGCCACTCGGTAACCAGTTTGGTTAAGCTGGCATTGTCCAGTAATTTCCATTCTGGACTGCTCAGCACCGCCCAGAGTTATCCGAGTTTATCGTCGAATAATAGTGAAAACATAGCCCCATCAAACCCGTCAAATACGTCGACGGGACAGCAATCGGCATCCACCATAAATCATACACTTACAATGAGTCTTACATCCACGTCGAGTGACAGCGAACAAGTGTCACTGGAAGACTTTTTAGAGAGTTGCCGAGCTCCGGCTTTGCTGGGCGACTTGGACGATGAGGACGACATGGATGAGGACAACGACGAGGAGGAGAACGAAGACGAGTACGAAGAGGTGGGCAACACTCTGCTCCAAGTGATGGTCTCCCGGAACTTGCTCACCTTCATGGACGATGAGGGTTTGGAGAACAGACTGGTGGGTGTTACGAAGCGCAAGTCCTGGGACGATGAGTTCGTCCTAAAGAGACAGTTCTCCGCGTTGATACCTGCATTCGATCCGCGACCGGGTCGCACGAATGTTAACCAGACTTCGGATTTGGAAATTTCCCCCATTGGCGTTGAGTTACCCAAGCCCCAACAGAGCGGCCAGGAGACTATTGAACAGCCGATGCTGGGTCTAAAACTACGTGGTCCGGGAATTGGCGGAATTCCCGAAGTTGAAATTGACCTGAACAACACAGACTGGACCATATTCAGAGCCGTGCAGGAATTGCTGCAGTGCAGTCAGTTGAACAAGCTGGACAAGTTCCGAAAGATATGGGAGCCCACATACACGATTGTGTACAGGGAGGTGCCGCCTGAAGCGCCAGAAAGCACTGGCGTGGACTCGGAGGAGTTTGCCCAAACACCGGATGTGTCGTCAAAGAGTGGCGCCTCCACTTTGTCCCCCAACTCACCCATGCACATCGGATTTAACGTAGCCGATAATAACCTGTGCTCCGTGGACGATGTGCTTGAGCTGCTCACTCAAATCAATGGTCTCAATCAATCGGAAATCGATTCGGATGGCAAGGAACTTGGTGTTTCCGTGTTGTCCGAAGATCTCTTTATCAGCAAGAAAATAACTAACAAACTGCAGCAGCAAATCCAGGATCCACTAGTGCTGTCCAGCAACGCGCTGCCCAATTGGTGCGAAAACCTAAACCAATCTTGCCCCTTCCTGTTCCCATTCGAGACCAGGCAGTTGTACTTCAACTGCACATCCTTTGGAGCCTCTCGCAGCATAGTATGTCTGCAATCGCAGAGAGATGTGACTGTGGAAAGGCAGAGGATTCCCATCATGAGTCCGCGCCGGGATGATCACGAATTCCGCATCGGTCGTCTTAAGCACGAACGCGTTAAGGTGCCTCGAAACGAGAATCTACTTCAGTGGGCAATGCAGGTTATGAAGACGCACTGCAACCGAAAGTCCGTGTTGGAGGTGGAGTTCTTGGACGAGGAGGGAACTGGTTTGGGTCCTACACTGGAGTTTTACGCCTTGGTGGCTGCCGAAATTCAACGCGCCGACCTGTGTATGTGGCTGTGTGACGACGATTTGGGCGAGGACATCGACAACTCATCGGAGAATACGCAAGGCAATTCGAAACCCGTAGGGTATTACGTAAATCGCAGAGAACACGGAATTTTCCCAGCACCTCTGCCGCAAAATACCGAAACATGTGAGAAAGTACTAAAATACTTCTGGTTTTTCGGTGTTTTTGTGGCAAAAGTATTGCAGGATATGCGTTTAGTGGACATACCCTTATCAACATCATTTCTTCAATTGCTTTGCCACAACAAGGTGCTGTCACGTAATCTCCAAAAAGTTATTTCGGATAGACGAAATGGCGATCTCTCTGTCGTGTCAGAAGAATCGGACATAGTAGAAACCTGCACTAAGCTATTGCGCACTGATTGCAATAAGACCAATGCATTTGGGGGAATTCTTTCCTTAGAAAACTTAAAAGAAATAGATCCAACTCGTTATCAATTCCTACAAGAAATGCAAAACCTCTTATTGCGAAAGCAGTCAATTGAGTTTGACGACACCATAGACGCCGAGAAGAAAGAAGAACTAATAAACGAGCTTAAGCTGCACACCCAAAACGGCTTAGAGGTATCCCTTGAAGACTTGGCCCTTACGTTCACGTATCTGCCAAGTTCCTCGGTCTATGGATACACCCAGGCCGAACTGCTGCCAAATGGGGCGTCAGTGAATGTCACCATCAACAACCTGGAAGCGTATTGTGAACTGCTTATGAACTTCATCCTGCAGGACGGAATCGCTCAACAAATGAAGGCTTTCAGTGATGGGTTCAACGAAGTGTTCCCCCTCAAAAAGTTGGCTGCCTTTACGCCCTCAGAGGCCCGAATGATGATTTGTGGCGAGCAGTTCCCCCATTGGAGCCGAGAAGACATTATTTCATATACTGAACCAAAACTTGGTTACAACAAAGACAGGTAACTTGCATATACACGACTTAAGTGTTAGGTTTTGATATATTTAACTAAAAATATACATTCTTACAGTCCTGGGTTCCAACGCTTTGTAAATGTTTTACTAAGCATGTCGGGCGACGAAAGGAAAGCCTTCCTTCAATTCACAACTGGTTGCAGTAGCCTGCCGCCGGGAGGACTTGCAAACTTACATCCCCGACTGACAGTTGTTCGAAAGGTAGATGCTGGCGTCGGAAGCTATCCATCCGTGAACACGTGCGTTCACTACTTAAAGCTTCCGGACTATCCAACTGAAGAGATCATGAAGGAGCGCTTGTTAACAGCAACTAAAGAAAAGGGGTTTCATTTAAATTAAACAATTTATTGTACTCGATATTCAAGTTAATAAAATTTGAACCTTTTGTTATTTAAAGCGTACTTGTTGTGTAACGTAATAAGCGATACTGTAAATATTTCAACTGTTCAAACCCAATCTTTATATATAAGTTTAGATTTATTGCTTACACCTAAAGTCTCGGCCTATTGTTTCAAATTTAATTTAACCATTAAAATGGTAGCCACTGCAAACCATATTTTTTTATTTTAAATATGATCTATGATCTCCACTGTCCCAAATTTACTTTAAATGTTGAAGTTATCTGGTATATCGCCCTCGGATTTCTAAATCGCATTTGGTTTTCCTTTTCTAGAAGCGAGTTTATTCGGGATTTAAGATTGAGGGGTCAACGCTCAGTCAGCTGGGTTTGCTTACAAACAAATCGTAATCTCAAACAAGTATGAATATTTACATAAATGTAATTCACCTAAAAAATCTAACCGTGAATTCTTAAAACAATTGAAAACATAATGTTTTAATTTACTCCAAAGCTGACTATTTTTGTACAATCATTTTTCACATGCGAACGGACTTAAACAGTCAGTCGGAAATGGATTACTTCTTTAAGAGGTCTGTTTTTACCAAGAAAACATTGCCGGTTGGTAAAATGATTCCTTCTTAGCATGGGATTTATTTAAATGTTTAAACGTTCTTTTGGAACAATTTTGAAAGGTTAATCAACTTCGCTAGCTTCCAAAAATAAATTAAAAAAAAAAAATTGTTTAACATTGGTGAAATTTAACCTATATTGATGTATTCCAAAACCACAATCTTTGAAAGCATCTAAACCGGCTCTCTATATGTAGCTGAACATTTTCCTGTATCTGCTAGCGATCCCTAATAAATTATAGCTCTTAAAAAAGGTTCCATAGACAGTTTTCGTAAATGGAAATTTATTTACAACTTTAAAGGTAGTGTGCCCTGAAACAATTAATGAAAAAAATTTCAACCATAGGTAACGAAATTTAAATTAGCAGTTTCAAAATGTTTGCGAAATGTTGGTCCACTGGGTAATGCAAATTAAATAAATTCTTTTGTAAAAAGAAATTCAAATAAAACAAAAATTCATAAATTAAAAAAATATTACTAAAAAAAATTTAGGAAATTTTCTGAAATAAAATTGAGTTCTAAATAGCAATGTTAATTCGAAAATTTTATTACCATTGTTTTTTGGATGCAATAAAACTGGAAAAACTTTTATATATATCAATATTATATAATTGAAATATAAGCAAATCTCTAACTGACTTACAAATAATATTCACAATGAAGCTTTTTGTTGCTAATTCAAATTATGTATGAAACACAAAAAAAATTCATATCAAATTTGTAGTATTATGTTTTTTAGAATAAGTCACTCTTCAGCAAAAAAGGTTCACCCTAAGAAGGTTTTAACCAGTCAGCGAACTACCCTATTAACTTTTTCATTCATTTTATTAAGCACACATGGCAGACAGTAAATACATGTGAAATAAGCTGTAAAATTTGTTGGTCTCTGTGCAATTTGTAAATATTCCGAGAGTAACGTCTATGATGTTTTTGACTACTTTTTAAAGTTTCAATTTATTTGGATAACGTTATCGCGCACACCTCTTTATGCTTTATTAATTAGACATAATAAAACCACGGAAAGCGGGTTTCGCTGTACTAGTATAAATTATATAAAAAGATAAGCTATATCTCGTTGTGCATCTGAGGTTACTTACTATCTTAATCTTGTAAGGGAGCCGTGAAGACGGCAGTCAAGGTTCTACTGTCCACGTATCAAAAGAAATTATGAATTCGGTGTCTCTGATTATTTTGTGCTTTTTTTCGTTCGTACAAAATGATTACGTTCGTCCTTCCTTTCAAGTTTTAATACGCAGAAGGAATAGCTTGGGAGTCTTGGAGGATGGTCACTGCTATGGAAATATTATTCAAAGTCGACTTGTTTTAACGGCAGCATCGTGTCTATTAAGTGCTACTGAAACCCCAAATCAAAGAAAACTATTAAAATCTGAGGAGATAGCTGTATCCTTTAAGGACCAAGACTTAAATGAGTTAATTTACTTTGCTGGTGGCTTTGACATTTATCCTGAATTTAATGTGTCATCTTTGGATCATGATATTGCAATACTAAATCTAAGTACACAGCTTCCCCTGTCTAAACGATCAGATATTCAATGGATTTTAGTGGCTGACTACGATCTTAAGGATTCACCTTTGGAGCCAGGCGTAGACTCTTATGTAAGTACTGTGGCTATTTGTAACTTTAAATATTTAATAGAACCCTGCATGACTTGGCTCAGAACAGTTTTCGTTTTAAATGATATGATCAACTAGTTTTCACCCAAATAATCTCAAAAAAGGTTTTTTAGTATTCACAAACAATACAAACAATTTTAAAATAAATTATTCATAATTTTTGCAGGCATGGAAAGATTCTGACGGAGAAAATGTATATCCGGGTTATGGTGTTATTCATGAAAGTAATTTAGTTGGAATCATTTCTTACGGACTTTCATCGCAAAATAACAACGAATCTGTCGTTGAAAATGGGATTCCAAATAGATTTACGCCATTAAACCCATATTTAAGTTGGATATATGCAATTTTACAGAATTCTGAGATTGCCGACATGAATAACAATAACTACAGTGCATCTTTACCTTATCACCAACGAAAAAGCGCAGATATAGGTAATGTAAATAAATACTATTTATTATAGTCAGAATAGTTGTCATAAAGGGATCATGAAAACAAATAGTTTCCGAGAAAATTCACTTTGTTGTTCCAAAGAAAGGTTAACAATAATTTGATAAGAATAACTTTCTGATAATGCTGAGAATATCTACTTTTAACCGGAATTTTAAGATAAAAGTTTATTTCCTTTTGGTTATGACTTTAAAAGCAAATATCTTGAAAAACTTACAATATGTTTAATGATTGTATTATAATTTTTTTAATTCTTTCATAACATGAAGAAGGAAGCGCTTCCGGCTCTATAAAGTATATATATTCTTTATCAGGGACTGGTTAATTTTTGGATATTTTTTTTAAGTACTAGATAGAATATTTCTTAAATTTTTTTGTCATATATACATTTTTTAACTTTTTATCACACTGGTATAATCCTCAAGCTTAGTAGATTTCGCAACTTTAATCCTGATTGTTTTCTTTCTTTTTATCTATCTTTTAGTTAATGAATTCAGTGAATCAAATGCAGAGTCAAATGCCAGTAAGTAAAATATTTTTTTCGATTATTAACCTTTATATTTACTTTAAATATAAATATTTTAGGTTTTAGCTAATGTATTTTTTTGGTGATCACTTTTAAATAAATAATATTCATATTAATAACTTTCTTTCAGTTGAGGAATTCATTGATCCTAATGCAGAGTATTTTCCAGAGGCAGAAAATCCCAGTAAGAAAAATATGTTTTCGAATATTGATATTTACGTTTACTTTCAATAAGTTTAAAGTTTTCTAATAAATTGAAATGTGGATTTTTTAGACTAACGGTTTCATTTACATTTTTTTCAGTTATAGCTGAAATCGAAACTGATGCAGAAGATTTGACTAGTAATGCAGAAACCCGTAAGAAATAAATTTATATTTTATTTCATTTAATTTAATTTTTACTTTAATATCTTCCAATATTAACTATACCCAAAATTTTCTTTCCAGATACTGAAAAGCTTGAAACTGAGACAACCGCAGCGGACCAATGTAAGTAATAAAAAATTGTTATTAGTCGATTTGGTAACGAATATATTAATAATATGCAAAACGCTTTTTATTTATTATACTCAGCCTAATACTATAATATGAAAGGAATGCAACTTCATTAAATTAAATAAAGTATTACAAATTACAATTTTGTTTCCTTACAGTTAACGAAAACATCGAAAGTGAGAAAGGATATTATAAAAACGCAGCCAATATGTGTAAAGCCAATGGAATTTTTACTTGGATAGTATTATTAAACTTCATTTATATTAAATACCACTTGTGAATTTTAACATGATCAACATTAAACTCTAATTTGTATGTCATTATTGAAAATATTCTGCTTAAAGATAAAAATTCGTAAAATATAAATGTTTAATATCACTTGTAAAAATTTATCCTTTTAAATAAAATGTAGCATCAGCTAACCCAAAATATTTCACTGTCAGGGCATTTGTTTTTCATATGATGGCTAAAATTTTGGCTTGAAGGCTAGAAAAGAAATGGATGTCCACTTTTAAAAGGTAGGTTGGCATCGTTTCCAAACAAAAGGATTGTAAGCCTGCGTTATGTCTTGCGATGTTGTTCAAAACCGATCAATCAGTATTGTTCTTCTCTCAGTCCAAGTACTCAGTACTAGTGCGAAGTCCGTTCGTGAAATAGACTCTGGTAACACGTTCGTCATTTGTCTCAATTCAAAAGTTAACAAATCCAGATCAGCTGTTCGTGCCACTAACATGACGGAGTAGCATTAGCTAAATGCTAATGCACCAATGGTATCAGGCACAGTTGAAAAGTTCTCTAATATGGAAATGGAATCAGGCTATTACTTCCAACAAATTTCTAGCCGTTCCTTATTTTCGCGGTGTGAATGGTATATTATAAGTGAACACGACACGTCACTAAGTTTTAATCGCACTCATCACTAAAAATATATTGATGTTGTTCCATCGCTGAAATGAAAATATAAATAAAAAAGATTTTAAAAACTACGCTTTATTATTGTACACACTTCCGTAGACGGTGCGTTTTTACAACAGTTGCCTTAAAAATGGGTCAAATTTCATTTGAGGAGGATTGCTTAGTTCGCGAGTTGGATAGGTAAGTTAGTTGTTGGCCGGCCGATACTTGTTTAATAATATTTATATTTTAGTCGATACTATGGCTTTCTGGATTTGTCCAACTCAAAAAATGCGGAAATAAAGAATTTGGTGCAACAGACTGTAACGAACTTGCAGAATTATATATCTAATGGCCAAGTGCATGAAATGAAGAACACATTTGATGATAAAAATGTTATACAAAAGTATGACCCTTCAAATGTAGCAGGTGAACATATGGAAAACTCATCGTCGCAAAATGATGAAGACTCCAAGATTCTTGATAAAGAAACTAACGAAAAGGGATTCAACAGTGATGAAAACCCCCAAGATGAACAATATGTTAATGCTCTTTGTAAACTGGGCCACCTGCATCTGCTTC